ACAGGGGCAGTGGCATTTGAGTACGAACACACTGAACTGAATGCCGAGTCCAAAGTTCAGCGGGATATTATGGCAAGTCTCCTTTGTTCCATGGAGTCAATATACACACTAAAAAACGGAAGCCTCTTGGTCCGATTGTCGAGTAATGTACAAATTGGCTTCCATTTACTGGCTTAGATGAACATCTGTAATCACAGAGATTATAATTATCATTTGTCAACTGATTTGCATGATCTGCAACCATGCCAACTACAGCCTGTGTCAATAAAAACGCAGGATTCAAAGCGATTTTTTTTCTGAGAAAATTATGCTACTGGTGTGCCTAATTTGATAAGGATTTGATTGTCCATAATTTCATCTTTGACAAGATTTTTGTTTGGTGGGATTTGGACCTTTGGTTCAAAAGTTATGACAAGTTTTGTGAAGCCCTTCTGAAGCGGGTTGGTCTGATTCAATGACCTTAACACAAAGACCAGTTACCGGTATGTACAATGCAGGTATGCATTGAAGACAATTAAACCAGAACAAAACTTTCTTTGAAACAACTGATGATAAGTATCACTTAAATTTAATAACTGGACTATCATTGTTTCAAAGCATCATGAATTATTGACTAATAACATTGATTGTGGACTAAAGGATTATGTAAGCCTAATCCTGCCACACATGTCCTTCTTTGTGATCCACAAATACTTTCACCTGTACTGAATTCAAACCTTTCATTAGGTATGTGTGATTTCACAAATCAGACCAGCTTGGAATTTATAACCCTTCTTCAATGTACTCTATCTCTGGACAGGATTGTCCAAATGAGACGGGATAAAAAGCATAGTGAAGAGAAGGAAAGGTACTTTGAAAAGAGGGTTAACATTATGATGAATAGGGGTGGTTTATATTCTTAATATTTTTGTTTCTAATCCTGCGTTTTTATTGACACACGCTGTATACTACCTCTGACAATACTTGTTTGCACAGAGCTTGTATGTGACATTACTTCTTTTTTTTAATCGCCTTTAGGTTTTCATTTGCCCATCGTAAATTACGCATCTTTTCCCAAATTCCCAGAGCTGCTAGGCAGGTAATGTTGCAAAGCAACTCATGTGTACTAAGTGTACTAATCAAAAGTTAGTTGGCAACCAGTCATAATTGATGTACAATTAAACAGAGATTTTCAACCCGGGTTGAAATTCTTGCCAGGGTTGAAACAGTATATAGTAACTGAGCATGATAAGCTTGATTTGCATGAAACAAGTGTGAAACGATGTGGGGTTGAACGCAGGGTTGAAAAATTAAAAAACTCAACCCGGGGTGGCACTGGGTTTGCCCAGGGTTGAGTTCAACCTGGGTTGAGAGGCTCTAGTGTGATTGGCTCTTATGCAAAGCAAATCTAGGGATGATTATCACCATCCATCATGCACTTGCAAATTGTGTCACTAGGTTAGTCTGTACATGAGAGCACAATGTCTGATTGCACTTTCATGTACATGACCATTAAGTCAATAAAAGTGGTAAAGAAACCAAACCATAGGAGGCAATCCGTTAAAAAAAAAACTGCACAATAAAAAGGATGTGAGGGATCAACGAGGAATTTTCATGACCGCAATAAAACATCCTGTAAAAACGGGACGATAAATATTTTCATTTGATCTCCCAGTGCACCCCCGCATTTGTGTAAATTTCTCAAATTTACGAGAGTGGCCCCTCCAAACACATACTCAGATGGCTAGTGTAAAGTGAACAGCTCATTAAAGGGGTGACCCAGACACAGATTATTCTCACCATAAAGGAACAACAAAATCAGAATCGAATAAAGAGCTACATACATGTATACATGTAGTATACATTGTACTAACTGTATGTCATTATAGGCTAAATTAACACATGTATACATGTATGCTTCAGGCTTTTGCCATGACATTGAAAAAAGGACTAAAACCTTATGCTACATTTAACTTACGGCACACAAATTAATATCTTACCAAAAGAAGAAATTCTCAAGTAGTCTATAAAAATGAACATCCCCTGATACAGAATTCAATCTTTTGTATAAGCATATATATACCAACAAAACTGGGGGAAAAATTACTCAAAACAGGCAGCCAGTACTCCGGTGATCACTTCTCTTGCTGTAACCATTAGTTCATAAGAAAAAAACTAAATTTAACAACAAACACAGAGGCCAAATAAGTGCTACAGTAGCAGGAAAAAAATCACGCCCAGAACAGAAATTCTGTGTAGCTCACGAGACGGCTCCTTCAAAGACAAAGAAATACCGCCCAGATTCAGGCATAAATTGTAAATGAAGTTTCTCTCCCATGTGGGGAGGTTGTGTCAAAACAAGGCATTTTTTTCCCGCAATAATTCACAGCTTGGCAGTTGGGTATGAGGCACCGCCGTTGACACTCGGGCACCTTGCATTCTTAGTCATCACGTGGAGGACAACGAGTGTCTGTGGAATCAGTGGAGGCCGATAAATTGCCGTCTTTGAAAAGATACCTCCACCAGTGAAAAATTAATGAGATACGCATTTTGATGACGGCTGTTTTGACGGGCAGGATGAAATATGTACATGGTCTACTGCTGACTCACTGTATGCAAAAATTGTTGCATGGAGCATGGATGTACATTTTTGTCATGGGTATTAATTCCAGCGTTATGTAATGTCTATTACAGAGATTAAGAGCTCAGTGAATGAACCTGAAAATGTATTTTTCAAATATTATTAATCCATCATCTAGTTATAGTCAAGGAGATTACAGACTAGAAGTTTAGGATCATTTATCCGAATAATTAACTAGATATCATGGTTAATTGGCTCTGTTGTGGACATTATACACTTCCTTTCATTCAACACCGGAATTGCCCTTATGCAGGCCGAAATCCACACATTTATGAAGAGAATTAATCTTCCAAATATTTTATGGAAGATTATTGTTCACACCAGGTGTGCAGAGGCCACAACTGAATCCCTTAGTGATTTCAGCTCACTACAGTCAGGATCCAGGAAGAAAACAAACATTTCAGCTTTTTTTTACCCAATGTCCAAAATCTAAAAAGTTTTCCATATCGTGGTAATCAAAAATATTAATTTTTGTCCCCAAAATCTAACTTCATGAAATTAAGTCAAATGTTCACACAAGGTGTGCGTAGAGGCCAGAAATGAAGCCTCAAAGGTTCAGCTCAATACAGTCAGGATCCAGGGAGAAAACAAACATTTAAGGATTTTTAGCAAATGGCACAAATCTAAAAAGTTTTCCATATCCGCGGTCATCAAAAATCTTTATTTTTGGCCCAAAAATCCAATTTCACAAAATTAAGTCAAATGTTCACACAAGGTGCGAGTATAGAGGCCAGAAATGAAGCCTCGAAGGGATTTCAGCTCACAACAGTCAAGATCCAGGGAGAAAACAAACATGAAGGTTTTTTACCCAATGTCCCAAATGTAATTTTTTTCCCCATATCCATGGTCATCACGGATTAAGTTAAAGTTCACACAAGGTGCATAGCGGCCAGTAATGAATCCCCTCAAGATTTCAATTCGCTTGATTTATTAAGTTAACACTTATAACTTACTTATTTGGGGTTTTTTTTGTTTTTTTTCTCTCAAAAATGAGTATACAAATATGGGTAATCGTGTAGTTTAGGAAATCGTGTATTTCGTGTAATTTCCAGGTTCGTTTGCACACGTTAGCGTATCTAAATTCCAACACGAAATTACACGAAAAATAGACGTCTGAAAAAGGGGGGGGGGAATACTTTTCTATCGATTTAAAGAGGGTGAGTGTGCTTAAATAAAGTAAATAAACTACAAACAAATTCTAAATGTGAAAATAAAAACTTGACAAAGTTCTACATTTTTGGGTACATGTTCCAAGTGTGGCCTTTATTTACGGAGGTAGTCCAGTAAGTAACTTGGCCACATTTATGGGGCTAATTTAGAACGAACTTGTAAAAACATAACACTGCGTCGTAAACATAACGACTGCTCACTTTTGTTACGCGCCAACCACGGCAATGGTGCCAACTATTTAGTTGGGCAGTCCCGAGTATTTGTTGGGGCAGTGTTGAGGAATTGCTCAACTATTGCTAAGGCCAAAAAAAAAAAATATTCGGTCTCTGGTCAGGCCAAAGTTCCGGAATTGACGCGGCCACGCGGCATTTTTTTTTCTTTTTTTTTCTTTTTTTTTTCTTCAAGCTTGGATTGTACAGACAAGGTGGGTACTATCACTACTATTTTGCTTTTTTGGTGTCCTCATGTACATTGGTGTCCTCCATAATTTGCCTTGGTGCTTTCGATCATTTGCCTTGGTGCAATTTCCCATTCCTTGGTGCTCTTTGGTAAAAAAAAATGAAGAGGTGCGGAAATAGAGGGCGCTGTTGGAGCTACCGCGGAACATTTTGGAAAAAAAAAAGATCGACGCGCATGATTAAAATCGACGCGCGCGCTGACCAGAGACCGACTTATTATTTTTTTTGGCCTAAGACTTCCCAACAAAAACTTGGGACGGTGCCATAGTTGGGGCGTAATAACAGTAGTCAGTACGTACAAATGTACATGTAGGCCTACACGCAATCACTCAGTACCAGCAGTACCATACACCACACTACATGCCACGCCATGCCACACACATAATCCCCTCGGTGACAACATAACATACAGTGCATGTGCAGGCAAAGCAAAGTCATCAAAATTAACGCAACGCGTTATGGTCCGCGTTTTCTATCTGCAAACATGTCAACTCTGGAATGCAGATTTACGATTATATTAACGAAAACAAACTAAGTTTAACGATAAAACAATTTAGGATGTTATGTTACCAATATTCCGTCACGAAATGGTGAATTTTTGAAAGATTTCCCAGCACCTCGCAGCTCGACTCTCACACGTGGCGCGCCACCAGCTCATCGATCTTGGTGTTTATGTTCAATATTCATGACCTTACCACAAAGTATCTGATTGGCCAACTAACTTATAAATATGTAGTAGTTTACTCCTTTGACCCTGTGACCTCCTGACCCCGTGCGCGTTGTTTTCCTTTGGTTCCACGGCGACGATTTGGGACAGAATTTGAGTCGAAATCGCAATGATATATCGCTGAATGCGACCTTGATCTCCTGTCATAATGCCGCAGAAAGCTTTGAAAGTAACTGTAGACTTGACCATCCAAGCTGTAAGTCTAAAGTTTCTTTTTGGGTATATTTTTCCCACTTAAACGTGTCATCCTTCGCACTCGGAGAATGGAAACCGTATGGAAACTAATTGACCAGTTGTGATATATGAATTTACCACTGAGGAGTGAGGATCATCATCTAGCCCCATAAATGTGGCCAATTTACTGGACTACCTCCGTAAATAAAGACCACACTTGGAACATGTACCCGAACATGTAGCCTAGATTATTTTTGCTTAAGAAGCATACTCACCCTCTTTCATGTCTTTATTAATTAAACGGTAGAAAAAAAGTGCTGTATTTTTCAGACATGTCAGATGTGTGTTTTTTGTGTAATTTCATGTTGAAATTTTGATACGCAAACGTGTGCAAACAAATCTGAAAATTAGCTAGTCCAAGTAACTTGGACTCAACTTATCGCCTTTTTAACATTTGGACTATCGCCAGACCACGTCCGAATGTTAAAAAGGCGATAAGTTGGGTCCAACTACTCGGACTAGAACTTAGCATGAAAAATAGACGCCTGGAAAATGCAGCACTTTTTTTGGGGGGGGGGAGTATTTTTTTTAAGTGAATAAAGTCTGAAATTGTAGAATGGTCTGATTTCCAACTCGTGAATACAAAATCACGACAATGTTGCCGCGGAGCCAGACTAAGATTTGTCACTCACGGCAACAATTCTGAAGTCCCAAAAAACAGTCACTGCACATGTTCAGTGCCTAGCTGCGCAAAATATCGTTAAAAGAAAGCCAGACCTGGCTAAATATCCACTGCCTACAAAATTGTGTCGAAAAAAGCCATGCCACAACCCTTCTACAAAAAGTACAAGGCCTAGGCCTACCCCGATTTTGTTGGAAACAAATACAAATTAGGAGCGTAGGCCTTTATTGATAATTGTTTTGCAAAATATATTGCAAATGTATGAATTAAAAAAAATAGGCCTGGATAAACAAAAGGAGGCGGCCAGGATAAAGGGAACTGGGTGGGGACAAGAAACTAGTTAATGTTTTTACTTGTGCGTGTTTCACATAAAACACACAGCACCAATTCACAAATGATGTTTCTCGCACGTCCGCAGACGACTACATGTAGCACTCAACAGCTCGATTTTTTAGAGTCAAAATTTTGAACCCCGAAATTCATTCTCGCATGGTTCTCGCAAGAATAACACAAACACTTTTGAAAGGATGGTTGTGTGGACGTTTGCATGTACAAAAATATATCATACTTTTAAAGGCTCTTTCCAATTAATATCGTTTTGTTTAAAATGCCTTTTGTAACTCAATTGGACGCATTCCAGGATGTGATGTACCTTTAAAGCTTGGTTGGGCATAATATCAAAGTAGTTGATATCTTTGCTTGGAATATTGTTGTCAGGTGACCTGCCCAGGGACAGTTCTTCGTGACAGGGAAGATGTCTACATCAGCATCCATTTCTTCGGTTATCAGAAGAGAACGCTGTGCTTGCCTCCAATCTTTCCTCTTCTCTTCCACCAAGTCATCAGGTTTGAAAAGGTAAGATGCCAGCCAAAGACCTGACTTCGTAACACAAGGCAAACAACCTTGTGCTTGTGATATCGTGTTTGTTGCTATGCTGTGCCCCTTCCCCTTTTGTTTGATTGGTCTACTTCTCTTGCACACTCATGCTTGATGCAGCACCCTATTGGTACGTGTGTAGATATTTAAATTAGGGTAGCCCCTTTATCATTGGTAGTCTTGAGTATCACCCATTCTCCACGGAGCCCTATCTCTGGTAGAACGTCTGATATATCTAGGAATATGTATGCGACGCCATGCGCCAGTCAATTGGAGTCGACGTATCGCGTAACATATTGTTGCAGAGCGCGTGACCGCAGACTTTTTTGCTCAATTCACAACGTGTCTAGGATTAATTTATAGATATCCATGACAAGACCCGATATGGAAAGCGCTCGCTGATTGGTCAAAATCTAGAGGTCAAGAGGCGGTTGTCTTGCATAATTAATCAGCAAGTCAGCTCACATGAGTATATCATTGGTAGATCCTACAATTTACATGCTTGTGAGTATCAGACTGTCTAATTTGATGGTGTATTGTACTTATTCTATTGCTTTGCATTTGATTAAAAAAAATTAGAAATAAATGGTAATGAAATTTGAAAGTGAATTTTTAGCTCTTGCTGTTGGGGTCTGACAATTAACTCAAGCATATGTGGTGTCGTTTTCATTTAGATGTAACATATGAAATGCTAAAACGCTAGACCTAAACATAAACATGCAAAAACCTTTGCATATAGATTGACAAAGAAATCAAATGTACAGTTTGAAATGGACAAAAAATATAACTTATGTCTCCTTCGTGGTCTTCTTTCTGCAGACTTTTGTCAACTGCATCGACCCGGCCCACTTGGCCCTCCTTCTGGAAGACGAACGCATCTTGATTGAGCTGATCCAACTCAATGAGGACTACAGCGCCGACGGGACGGTGCTGGCTCACTTCTACGAGCCGGCTAAGGAGTTCCTGTATCCACAGCACACGCTGATGTCGGCTTACGCGGACTCTGAACGGGAGGTGCTGATGCAGAGAACGCTATGGTTCAGTGTGAGTGAAAAAAAATATTGAATTGATCATCAAAAATCATCGAGTATTACGAGTCCCCCCCCCAAAAAAAAAATTAAAATAAGGCCAAAAAAAAAAAATAGACGGTCTCTGGTCAGACCGAAGTTCCGGAATTGATACAGCGACACGGTTTTTCGTGGGGGAGGGGGTGGCTTTTTTTTTTTCAAGCTTGTATTGTACAGACAAGGTGGGTACAATTTTGCTTTTTTGTGTCCTCATTATACATTGGTGTCCTCCATAATTTGCCGTGGTGCCCTTTATCATTTGCCTTGGTGCAATTTCCCCATTCCTTGGTGCTCCTTGGTACAAACATTTGAGGAGGCGCGGCAATAGAGGGCGCTGTTGTAGCTTCCGTGTTAATTTGAAGAAGAAAAAAAGGTTGACGCGCATGATTAAAATCGACGCGCGCGCTGACCAGAGACCGAGTATTTTTTTTTTTTTTTTGGCCTAACACCCCTAAAACTAGATACACAAAATAACCAGAAAAACATGTTAGTGTCCCTCTAACGTTTAGACAGTGAATAAAACTGTGATTGCTGCTTTCAGAAAGTGGTGACAAATGAAACGAATTAAGCTGGAGTTTCCAAGGCATGGACCTAAAACAAAGAAGCTTGAGCCTCAAGACAGACCTGGAGACAAAGCCAAGATTTCAAAAACAGCAAGAGTTTCCGACTACATGGCCCTATTATCATGAAGCTGGAGCCCGAAACCAAAACTGGAGACACAGCCAAAGTTTAAATAACAGCTAGTATCAAATTTGCAACACTTTATTCAGTGTGATTGTATTCCTACTATTTTTGGTTCAATCTACTTAGGGTATAGCGCCTAAGCTGGAGTTTTCCTGCAGCACCACGGTGAAGGATTGCAGCGCGGCCCGTCTGTCCCGCTACAGTGAGCTGTCTGCCCAGCAGTCTACATCAGACGAAGATTTCTTGACAGTTACCACGGAGAGGCCATCCCGAAGAAGAACAAGGTTTTAAATTGTTTGGCTCTATGTCATATTTTTCTTTAAAAACCTAGTTTGAAGATTTTGATTCGTCATGCTGCCAATTCATTTTGTACTTTTGGCTTAATTTCTTGCAATTGATCAAATTTGAAAGTGAAATTGAGATTACCTTTCTGTCTTTTTTTGTTTTCTTTTTACAATTTCTAAAATCATTATGAGCAGGTTTTCTTGCCTGTTCAGCTTTGTCCAGATTTAAAATTAACCTAATCTTTCAGATTAAAACTAATCTGGGCCCAATTTCATGTCTCTGCTAAGCACAGAATTCTGCACTTACCTACGCTCACCATTTTGTGCTTACCACGCTAGCAGAAATTCTGTGCTAACCCTGTAAGCACAGAATCCTTCGTTCTGTACACATGTGCACAAGCCGAAATTCCTCACCAACCTGTGAAATACACTTACCGTAAGCACCAAATTTTGTGTTAACAGTAAGCAGAGCCAATAAATTGGGCCATGATGGTAAGTATAGACCGTTATCATGTTGCAGCCATTTGACTTTTTCCCATTCAAATCAACGTAACAAAAGCGAGGCTGGAAGGACAAATAGTCTGGTTCCTTTTTGCACAAAAAAATTATCATTCAGTACTGTTATTGGATACAGGGAACATGACTGAAATGGTGATAGCATGATAAAGATCTATTGGAATCAGTCTGCTTAACCAAGCCAACCTAATAAGGTCACAAATTTTCCTGGTCACAACTTTTTCAAGTCTGAACTGTTTCGACTAAGCTACAAACCATCTTCTTTTCTGTTCGAAGAACAAAGAGCTACGAAGACACTACCATTTCCTGGCGAAGCAAGTCTCCATCACGGAGCTGGAAGCGAGAGAGACTCGGTAACACATCACTGGAAGACAGGCCCCCATTCATCATCAAACGAGTATGTATGCTTTCTGTGGACTTTCAGGAGCACTCGTTTTGTTTTTAAGTTGTGGGTATTTAGTTCTTGAAGACCTTTTGCAACGAATTACTGGCTACGTGTGTGAAGAGAGCAGTATCAGTCTACAGTCAAATTCCACCATATAGTGAAACTAGAGGAAAGTTTTAAATATCACCATATAGTGAAACTAGAGGGAAGTTTAGAATATGGATGCATGTGGTCTTGCATGCAACATGCAGGCGTGTCTTGCAGTAGTATAGACCATTATCATGTTGCAGCCATTTGATTTTTTCCCATTCAAATCAGTGTAACCAAAGCGAGGCTGGAAGGAAAAATAGTCTGGTTCCTTTTTGCACAAAAAATTATCATTCATTGCTGTTATTGGATACAGGGAACATGACTGAAATGGTGGCAGCATGATAAAGGTCTATAGCAAGGAAAGTTTAGGGTTCAAACTTTCACATGACCACCTCCCCCCCCCCCAAAAAAAAAAAATAAAAAAAATAAAATTAAGCACAGAGTACCAACTAGTTAATGATAAACAGCTCCACCTTGTGACCTATTAAAGTAAAAACCATCGTTACTTACACAAAAATTTCAACCCCAATGTACACGTAAAAAAAATAAAAACCATAAAAACTAGTGAGTGATCCTGTCGCCCAGTTCAAAATGTTTGGCAGCAGCTACAATGAGTGTTGACTTTTCTGTCAAGAGTTCGTGTTTGTGTCGTGAATCAGTTGTATTGACCCAAACTCCTTACTGAGTTTTATAGAACAACACCAAGTCCGTCAAAATCCATCACTGACTCTGCTTCACATATTGCTTCAGCCGAAATGCACCACAAACCCACCACTGCTATAGGCGGATTTTCATGGACTTGGCACTCATGGCTTGTCTGCCAAAATGGGGGGATGGATTTTGATGGAGTTGGGAAGGTTAGGGTTAAGCGTAGTACCAAAGCATGCTTAGTATGAATATGTATCTTAATTCACCTGTGCCGCACATTCTTTTGCAGGGCAACACCCACAACCGTGCTACCTCCCCCAGCAAGTCCGTTTCCTTCAGCACCTCCCCCTCCAGACCCGTGTCAGCACCTCCGCCAGCTAATGGACTCACCTCCTCCTCCTCGTCCTCATCCTCACCAACAGTGAGACGACGAAGCCCACGAAGAAAAGCTTCTTCCGGGAGATCGTCCAGTAAGTTGACGTAAAACAAGAAAATGCAGAGTGAACTTTTTTTTCACAGAATGGACCGTTCAGGATTTGTTCATAAGCCATTCCCACTTTGCATGTAGACAGCAACACGTGCGTTTCTGCTAGTGGTGGGAGATATCAGAGATTTCTAAATCTGGTTATCATTTTTTTTTTCAAACCGAATAACGGTTATATGATTTCACCGGAAGTTCCTATCAGCTCACAGTCATGCACAACAATTAGTGGCGAGTGAGGTATACGTTATTTCCATTTATATAACCGACATACAGATCCTTGCCATTTGATTGGTGGAACTCACGTCATGTGCTCAAAAAGTCCCATTCGCCCATGGGGAATGAAAAATACTGGTATGATCATTCTTTTTCCATGACGCGGTATTTGTGTATGATGCATGCTGGTGTGCGTGTTCAGCGTTGTGTGTAGCGCGTATTGTTCCAAAGAGCAAGCGCTACAGAGTTGGGTTCAAACATTTTCGTGAAGGGGTGGTTTGGAAGAGAGAAATACATTTTCCACCACTTTTGTACTGAAATAAAAGTTCAAATATATCAAATGACAAGGATCTTTACGTCAGTTATATAAAACAAATATTGAGTGGCTTTAAATTGTGAAATGGGAGGATATTATCGCTCGGTAAAATCTGGACTTTTCCATTTTCGCCGAGTGAAATGGAAAAGTCCAGATTTTACCTTGCGATGATATTCCTCCCATTTCACTCTGAGCCACTCAATATTTGTATATTATTTACAAGTGATTTGAAAAAAAGCTTATGGTTCCTTTTTGTCACAGGCTACATCTCGGAGAATGATTGTAGAGTCTGTCGGATCTTCAAGCGTTACTATGGCAGGAGATACTGGGGTCACAGGAAGAACTTCCATCCTAATCATGGTATCAAGATCAGGCCCACAAAGGTTGGTTCCCATGCATAGTCCGCTCCCATTTTGGTTGAGGGGTCCACTATCAACTTGTCAGCTTGTTAAGTGATTTATTCTCCCTCCCCCACGCAATCCAACAGCGCTGGTCACCTCTAATTTTCTGTTAGCTCTCATTGGATAGTTTCTAACCACTGACATGACTGACCCGGTTCAACATGGGTGTATGTGTGTGCATGACACTTGTGAATATGATCTGATACACCGTGCCCTCTGGAGACATGCACACAATAGGGAACAACATACGTCTCCACAGGGCAATTTCTATAGATGAATACTTCTCCGCAAGGTTTTCACGAAATAGATATGGATTTACTCAAAAACTAGGCATTTCTGAGGTATGTTGGTCTGTTACAAATGAGTTTTAGAAAAGGGATATTAAGTCCGAATTTCAGCCAAGGAAATTAATTCTGGTTAAAATAAGAGCATTTTCAAACTACAGTTTCAATTTCGAAAACTTTAGTACATGAGAACAAAGCAATGTCTCCACAAGGATACAAATTCCAGAATGTGTGTACTTGAAAGGCACAAGATGGTAGGCTACCCACAGTGCATTGCATTTCCTTCACAATATTCTGGAAGAGACATTAGCAGTCACCAATGCCACTGGATGTGACAGTTGGTGCAAAGCGAAGTTAATAACTGGTGTTCGCTCCAAGAACCACTTTTGTTTTTGCATTGGCATGCGTTCTAGTTCTGGGTTTGTCTCATTGTTTTCTTAGTAGTGATTAACATACATCCATGATTTATCTCATATGTTTTTGTTTTTTGTCTCGTTTGATTGTGCAGGATTCAGATACCTTGGTGGATGAAGCTGATTTGTGGCTGGATAGGGTGGCACAGTCTCAGGTCAGCGATGACACCCGAGGTAAAATCAAACTCCATTTTATGTTTCAGAGTGCATCAAGATTTGATTCATTTTAGAAATTTTAAAGGTAGAGTCCATCATTTGCAGCTATCCAAAAAGTAACTGACGAAATTACTGTTGAAAAGTGTACTTGGTTGAAAGATAGTAAGGGCACTAAACTCCCTGTGAAATAATTCTTTCTGGCATGCTGTCATTTTGAAGAAAACAATAAAAGAAGGTCATTTCCAAAGATGCCTCTAAAGACGCAGTTTTGGAAATTTCCATTAGTATTATTTTCGTTTTTAATTTGGCGAAGCCGTGAATGAATGTGCGCGCAAGCGTTGACATGAGGCACACGAGCGCGGTTGCTATAATTCGTCGGTTCAGTGCGAGACATCGCGTAGCTACAATCGTGCTGAATGAGAACATGTCCCGGATGCTGATTTCAGGTGCAATTTTAAAACATGACTCAGCGACTTTTGAATTGAAATCGAAATCCTAGAATATTCTTTTTTCGGAATATACAGCATTCACTGAGCTACAACTTCATCAGGTTAGTTGTTAGGCACCCTTCTTTAGATTTTGAGCACTTTTGTTGCTTCAAATGAAAAAAAAAAGGGAAAATGACAAATGATATACTCTACCTTTAAATGTCTAAGCACAATGGAAAAAATCTAAATTTGACCATTTTGATGGTTCCGAAGCAGAACACCGAACTATATTTGAGACAGAGTCCCCCAAGTAATTAAGGGCCTAAATTTCCTTGAGCCAAAAAACTGAAGACAAAACCAGAGGTTCAAAAACCCCAAATTCTCCCTTGGCCCCTTTGGTCATGACGCTACAATGAAAGAGGTCATTGCTAAGTGATTTACTGGTTTAATAAAACGAGTTTGCAGAAGTGAATCCTGTCTCTTGTGAGTATTTTATAAGGTAATGAATTTTGTCTTCAAAGGTTTCTTTGTAATGTTTCAATTTGTTCCCTAGATATTCTTGACGGCATGAATGACCTCAGCCTGACGGGGAGGTCATTGGAACCGGTGGCTGGTTTAGACGTGTCGTACGGTCGACTGCCGTACTCCCCTCGGCTGTCAAGATCCAGGTCTCCTTCTAGATCACCTAGAGCAAGGTATGGTTATAGTTGCTCATTACGCACATGTTACTCGTCCTGAAAATATATTCTTGATTACTCAGATCAGGATCTGGTCATGGGTACTCATTACTCACTTGTTACTCAAATTCTAGATTCCCTTTTCAGATTACCTAATGCAAGGTTTAAAAATGGATTGATTATGGTTACTCATGACTCAATTGTTACTCATCCACAAAATTATCTTCCGGGTCACACAGACCAAGGTTTGACTATAGCTACTCATTATCCAGTTGCTACTCATATTCTAGACATCTCCAGATTATCTAAGGCAGGGCTAAATCATGTTCACAAAATACTCACTTGTTTCTCATATTCTATCTTTTAAACTCACCAAACAGAACAGTGTTTGATCAGTATCACTCATTACTCACTTGTTATATTGAAAATCTCCTTCTAGACCACCGGCAAAGGTTTTAATCTTGCTTACTCATTACTCACTTGTTACTTGTATTCAGTAAGTGCTTCAACGTTTCATTGAGCAAAGTCATTTGTTACCCACTTGTTATTGGACTTGAAAATAGCTGAACCAGTCTAGTCGAGTACAAAGGACCAGCCTACCAAGGCCAATCACTTTGCTTATTTGCAGTTGCTGTAAGCATCATAATCAACGCCAAGAAAGACCAAGAAATATTGTAATGCTGTTATCGTGTAACTAATAATAATGTGTACATGTATATAGCGCACGTATCCACCAGTATTGGTACTCAAGGCACTACATCATTTTTACCCTGCTCATTGGGCCAATGAAACATTCCAAATACCATCTCGGCTCCCTGGGGAGTATACAGCTCCATGCTGCCATTTTGGCACAAAGCAGCTCTGTCCTCACAGGTACCCAATTTACCCCTGGATGGGGAGAAGCAATAAGTGACAAAGTGCCTTGCCCAAGGGCACAAGCACCATAACCCCAGGCTGGACTCGAACCCACAACCTGCGGAATTACCCGCAGACCACTAATTCAATGCTCCAAACCACGTGACCACGGCAGACCACATCAGTGCACAGGGGTAATTTATGTCCTTAATCAACCACACTAATCCACCAAAAGTCCTCAAAGGAACTTGCTGTATACAACAACCTTGTTAAGCTATTGACAGTCTTAAATTTCTCCATTTTTTTCCCCAACAGAACGAGATCTCTGAGCCCCATCACTCTGTCGCCTCGCAGACGATCTCGCTCCCCTAGCCCCATCCTCAATCGCTCCTCGCTCAAGGACAGATACGGAGACGTTGATCTTGACACCTCCAAACTCATCCACAGACGAGTCCGAAAGGCTTTGGAGCATAACTTTGTAAGTTTTGTAACTCTGAACAATTTTTATCAGAGATATCTGTTGTTATGCAGTGACTTATTTGGAAGTTTTTAAGGAAAACATTGTTCCATTCTCTATTGTTCTTTGGAAACTTGTGTCAGATTTCATTCTTTAAGCTCGTCCAACCCCCAACGGACACCTATAGTCCAGAAGTAGTTATATTTTTTATGTAGGGTCTTGCCTTGAAGCTTAGTGATTTCAGAAAGCTTGTGAGAAAGGCTTCACATGGTTTCCCTGATGGGACTCAACACATTTGTACCAGTGGCGCACCCAGGATTTGGCTGGGGGGGGGGGCTAAAAAAAAATTGCATAAAATGTTGCCCAACATTTTTGGACGCAGAATTTTTTTTTTTTTCGGGAGTGGACTATTTTGACCAGTGTTGTAGTCGAGACCGGATAGTCCGAGACCGAGACCAAGACCGAGACCTGAAGATTCGAGACCGAGACCGAGACCGAGACCAGCCCCTTCAAGGCGGACCGAGACCGAGACCAATATGGTCCGAGACCGAGACCGAGACCGCTGATAATAAATAACAATAGTCGAAATAAAAAAAACAAGACACGTTATAACAGTTGAAAAATGTAACCTTTCTATTCACAAAGAATACAGACCAAAAATTTGACCAGTGGCAGTGTTGACAAATTGATACATGACACCTTACTTGAGCAAAAAGTAGTTACACTTAAGAAATATGGGCTTTGACATGTTGTCTACACCCAATCGTGACAAAAGTAAAAAGTTAAAGGCAGATGCTTCTTTATCTGTTATAGGAACTCGGATCCTAAACTCCACAGTCACCCCCTTGGTTTCAGCTATGACTTCTAACGGATATTTAAAGATGCAATTTTAATTTTACATTGCCTCTTTTTTCCTAAAATAAATTTAGGACTTAACTTCTAACAAGACTTGTGTACTTGATTTTAAAAAATGGGAGCTAGAAAATGTTGAATTAATTTTTAAATTTGTGTCATAGAATGTTGACTTGTACATGTAGACCCACAAGTTGCGAGGTGGTAGCCAGAATGTTCCAGATATGGATTTTTAATTTCTGAACGGGACTTTTAATTTGTGAGGAATAATGGGGTACTTTAAAATGAGCAGCCAGAAAATGGGGTCTCATCATACACTCTCATGGCAACAGTGAGTGGTAACTGGTAAGAGTGTGTGAGTTCAATGCTGGAAAATCAGGTAGAAAAATTTACTTTTTCTTCAAAATACTGTCCCAAATTAAAGAGAACATTGTGTGGGGTCGAAAATATAACTAATTTGAAGCACCTCATTTATTATCAGAATACAAAATGCAAGTGATTACGCCCACAGGGGTGGGCTAAACTACACAATCCTCGAAAATGGTTGACCCTTATTGCATAAATTGTTACAAGTTTATACTTTGCTTTATGTGGCCGACTCAACAGATAAATGCCGAACTTGTTCCAAATCGTTCAGTGACTGGTACTGCTGCAGCTTTACATGTACTTTGGGGACTTTCCAACGTGCAGTCGAGTCCAAACCGACCGCGATATACAACAAGCTTGATCTACGGGCTAGCAAATGTTTTAAATAACAACGGTACTGAACGAAGTGAACACAAAGTAATCGATCGAGCTGTAAAAGCTACATATTGCCGGTCTCGACCCGAGACCAGCCAAAATATCGAGACCAAAGGGGACCGAGACCGAGACCAAGACCGAGACCACAGCTTCCGAGACCGAGACCGAGACCGAGACCAGCAAAAAGTGGTCTCGAGACCGGTCTCGAGACCGAGACCGGTCTCGAGACCTACAACACTGATTTTGACGTTGGTGGCGTCACTTACACTCCTATTATACTACTCGAAAATAAGCCACATACATATCACCAAGGTCAAATCGTTGGACTAAAATAAAAAATTTACCCCAAAAAAGGGGGGGGGGGCTCAAGCCCCCGCAAAGGGCCCCCCCCCCTTGGGTGCGCCACTGCTTTGAACTTGTATTCATGGAGATGTCTTAAGCACTTAAAAAGTAAAAGGGAAAAAGTTTAAACTGTCCATTACCCTGACAAAAACAAAAAGAACAATCCAAATCTCTATTGGAAACATATTTCCAACTTTTTTCCCCTTTTGCAGTCATCTGATTCTGACGTATCTTCAGTGACTTCAGAGGAGGCCCTAGCTGACCTGTCAGCCTCACTGCGCAGTGAGAATAGAGAATCCCTACGCCGCTCACTGCTGGAGAATTCAGATAGGAGGTACTTGGGCCTCTGAACACAAAACAGAGGTTTGTTTATCGTGGTATTTTTGGTCTTGTCACTCAGTAGCTTAGGTAGCTTTTAACGGGGTTGTAGTTTAGCACATCACAAGTTCTCAAGTCCTAGCAACTCCATTGCAAGTCCATTACAAGACAGGTCAAGTCAGTCATAAAGTAAATACAACCAAAGCATTCCTCCGTTTTTGTTCATCCCGTGTTACTTGCAACTGGACTTTTGGCAGCACTTGTGATTTACTTTCGACCAGACTAGCAATGGACATAATCACAGCACTGCTATTCACTTCGCTGGAAAGTCAAAAGTGTAGAACTATTGGTTGTTGAGCCTCGTTGGATGTATGCAATAGGATGTAATCCTGAGAAAGTAGACAATGTGCCCCCGAGTTCTCGTGGGTACGAATCTAAGATTTTTCTTCCATAAAATTATGGGGGGGGGGGGGGGGGGGTCGTGGTCCAATGGGGCATTATGGTCCAATAGTTACGGTGTTCGACTCATGTGCCGTGTTATGTGGGAACATGTTGCTTGTGTTCCTGGGCAAGACACTTTACTACAATTGCCTCTCTCCACCCAGGAGTTTTAATGGGTACCTGTGAAGGTAGAGACCAAGCTGCTGCAGAATATGGCTCATGCCTGACGAACAGGGGTAACAATTGTAAATCGTTTTGAAGCCTTAAAGGTACAAAGCGTTATAATAGTAAGCACCACATTATTATGATGCAAAAAAGGCTGAACTATTCACCCAGTTGCATGGCACATGTTGGACATTATCTTTAAGCAAAGTTGTATCCTCGATCCTGATTGGTCGATCCATGGCAACAGCAGTGTGATATTACAGTCGAGTCTCGTAAATACAAACTCGTTCGGACCTAGCCAAATTGTTTGTTATATCAGAATTTTGTATTAAAAGGAACATCAGTCCTGTCCATTGTGCACATAAATACACAGTCGGGACATGGCTTTATGTTATATATTTTATATATTATATACTTTATGTTGTAACCAGAATTTTGTATTAACAGAGTTTGTACTAACGAGATTCGACTGTATACTGTATCGCACGGTCTATATCGCACCCTACGTATTGCACTATTCAAAGATGCGAGCGACATTCCAGCTGCATGCGCTAAACCACTAAAACGTTCACGTAAAGCGTGCTAGTTCCAAGTCCGTGCGTCAAGTTTGCTGGAAGATAATTTGTTATCGCGCTCGCCCGTGGAACAAGGAAAATGTAGTGCGTCTGTATTCCACTCACACTCGCGGGATAACTAATAGTATTAACACAGTACACTTGTAGTGCACAAAATTATCAGAAACTTTCAGCTGCTAACAGATTCCTATACGACATTTATCTTTTCTCCTTGTAGTATATCAGTGCATATAGACGATGGCGACTTCTGGTCCACTCGCAGTTCAGAGTTTACCGGCAAGACCCACCGTCAGCTGTTCGATGATACAATGAGCAAGATATATCGACGTCTGTACAGGAATATCAAAGATTCGGCCTAAGTTTTGTTATCGTTTGGGCCCCAAATTGGTCAGCTGTGCATAAAATAAGATGGCGGTTTCTTTATATATTTTTTATCTGGGATGAATGGTTTAGGCCAAAAAAAAAAGTCTCCGGTTTCTGGTATGGAGCTTGCCCAAAAAGTGGTGCGGCGACGCGGCTTTTTTTTTTTTTTTTACCTGTTTTTTTGCTTCAAATGTCGGCTGATGACTGCAAATGGTGCCCGACTAAACTTAGTGCAAATATTATGAGAGACCAGAGAGGCCACATAAAGCTTATTCTCGATCATAATCCCATCTAAAAACACGTTAAAATTGTGCAGCAGCAGGATTCCAGTCAAACCAGTGAGTTTGGCGGTTTTGAGACATCATCTTTCATTGAAAAAAAACCTTTTCATTTTGCCGACGCACATGGCTACGGCGACGCGCGCGCGCGCATACCAGAAACCGGAGACTCTTTTTTTTTTGGCCTAAAATAAGATGGCGGTTTCTTTATATATTTTTTATCTAGGATGAATGGTTTATCAAGGGTGTTACAATGCCTGGAAACAGGGACAGAACATAGATTTGTTTCGTTTCCTTGCATCTCTAGATTTTTTGTGTTTTGGTTTCTTAAACATTTTTAAAATGTCTCACTAGTCTGTAACATGAGCAAAATTAATCTTCTTTGTGTTTCGCTTCCCAACCCTGCACGGTTGCGAGTCCCTACATATGTGTTCCTTGTACCCCGTCATTTAGCCTCTGAAGAACTTGTTAAGTTTGCAACGTCGGTCTGCATTAATTTTTTAGCCTGTATATAACATGTGAAGTGTACACGTTTGTGACCCCCGTTTAAAGGTTTCCTGCTTTCATAGAATTTAATTGATGAGATTCTTCTAAGAGATTCTTCTAGATTGTAGATTTACTGGAAAATTTGGGGGTCCATTAAAATACCTGAATAGGAACATGTCAAATACAGCAGATGCACAGAAGCTAGTTTGTAATGTCACATTAAGTAGTGTTTCTGTGAATGCGCAGAAGTGGAAAACATTTCCACTATCGGTGAATTTTGCTGTAAACATCTTGTGACGTCAAATTTGCTTCACGTTATAAATTGAATGTAGTGTATATAGAAGATCTTGGATGAGGATTCTTTTAAGTTGTTGAGCAGTTTTAACTATAAGCAAATGACAATCAAATATTTGAACTTATTCCCAATCAAACTTTTTTAGTGAGTGATATTGTGCAGTTGAAACTTTCACTGCATTGGTTTTGCGTTGTGTAAATGGTTGTGTCAATGGTTTCTTCAAATAGTGATACATTTAACCTACGAATACCCTGATGCACTTAAAGCTATAGTCCATCATTTGTAATTTGTGCATTTTGTTCGTTTGAAGCAACAAAAGTGTTCAAAATCTAATGAAGGATACTGAACAACTAACCTGATGAAGTTTCAGCTCAGCTTCAGCTGTATATTCCGAGAAAAACAGCATTCTAGGATCTCAATTTCAAATCAAAAGTTGCTGAATCATGTTTTGAATTGCTTGAATTCAGCTTCCGAGACGCGTTCTCACTGAGCCGATTGCAGCTATACGCGATGTTGCGCACTGATCCGATGAATTATAGCAACCGTGTGCGTCGTGCCAATGCTTGCGCGCGCTTCGCCGAATAACAAAACGAACTACTAATTTAAATATTCCTACGGTGCGTCTTAAGACGCACCGTTGGAAAGACCTTCTTTCGTTGATTACTTCAAAATGACAGCTTGCCAGAAAGAATAATTTCACAGGGAGTTTAGTCCCCTTACTATCTTTCAACCAAGTATGTTTTTCAACAATAATTACGCCAGTTACTTTTCGGATGGCTGCAAATGATGGACTATAGCTTTAAGTACAGAGATTTAGCTTTGCAGATCACAGGGTGTTGTTTAGAATTGTTCTAGAGCCATATTTTTTTATAAGCACATGTAGTTACCGTTTGTCAATATTCAGCATCAGTTTGTGTCGTTTAGCAATGCTGACATTGAATTTTCTAATTGAGCCAAATTTCAAAACAATAGGATATAGTGTTGATTTTTTGTAAAATATTGAAATAATTCGAAATTGTTTTTATTGTATATTGTCAATGTGTGCAAAATAATAAGAGTCTATTAATAGAGTCTAAAAGAATGGTAATAATTTTGTCCTGGATAATAGTAATCAGAAAACAGTAGGGAAACAAAATCAATTTTAATTCAAATTGTGCTGTGAATACATGTACATGTATAGAATTTCAAGTTCTTTTAAATAACAAATTGTATTAAGTGTTGTAAAATATTAAGGGGTCATCCTTAATTGTCAACATTTTCCAAAGTGTCGAACATACTCCTTTTGATGGAAACCCCCCCCCCCCCCCTTGAAAGAGTACTTTAAAAAATGTTGATTTTCAAAGATATCCTGAAACGACCAGGTCATTCGTATTGCCCCGATTAGTTAAAACACTCTTATTCTGCGATTTTTATACTACTACTTTGAAACATGTGTATTAGACATATCAATAAGTCTGAAAATTGACACAAAAATTCACCAAGACTCATTTTTTTGCATTTTTCTCCACTACGACCTGTGCCCAGTTCTGTCTCATTTGCCAGAGTGCCTCACAAATATGGCTACACCTATGAATTGCGAGCTGGTCCGCAGTTTGCCAAGCTTAAGTATCAGGTTTTTTTAATGACAGATCTTCTGTAAAGCCCATTACAAAAAAAAATGGACCGAAAAATATTGATCGACATTTTTACAAAATTTCATAAGCGTACATGGGTCTTAAACCCCCTCCCCCGAGCGTACGTTTGTGCGCTTTTGGAAGTGTTAATAATTACGAATGACCCCTAACGTAGGCAAGTAATTACAGAATTTTTGAGTCCAAAATCGTACTTATTTTGTTCAGGTTTAACTCTACAGATGTTCTTTTTTTTTTTTTATGGAGATAGTTTTACCTTAAGACATACAGTCAATTTAGTTGAAGGAATTTTATTATTTGTAAGCTTTCATATCATAGTTTGATCACTCTACACAAGTGCATACTATACCAGAATAGCTGATAAACTTTGGCATTTGCCTTGTTAAACTCCCTCTAAATGTCTGGACATTTTTCGGCATACCGTGTAGATGGTGCTATGATGTTCTGCCAAGTCTCAGGAAGATACGGCTACAGCCAAGTACCGCAATATGCCCCGACCTTGTTTAACTTTCAGTTAGATACCCATTTGTCATGTTCTGGACTTGCATTTTGCACCAGTTTGTTTTCAATACTTACACTGCATTAAAATGTAATAGCTACAGTTTTAAATAATATAAAATGCGTGTAGAAAGAATTGACATTAAATGACCACCTATTTACAATTGTTAGCACGAAATCCGTTTACTTTCCAATGCTTCAGGTTTTGCAATCTTTCTTAACAGTTTTGTAACATTTTAGTAAAGCAACAACAAAATATTAATTAATAAAATACATTTTAGCATGTGGATTTGTAATCTGGCAGATGTCAGACAAATAAATGGATAATTTTGTTAATCAAAGATACAAGAAAAATTTGCGTTTATTCCCGCTGCAGAGATATATTTGTGTTGGCCCCATTCAATGCTGAACATTAAACTGTCACAATACTCAAAATTGCATTTGCTAAAATTGTGTCTGTAATACATGGTACAAAAAATTGACACTTTGGACAGATAAAAATCAACAGGAATACCAGAAGAACTCGACTCCAAATTCAGATGGCATCTTGAACTGTTTTGATCCAGTTTTCAAAGTTTGACAACATTGTCTCAAACATTTGAGTCGCTTGACAACAGGAGCATGAAGAGCTGTATCCTCTTCAGAGAAGTATGTAAAAATTCCCCAACTTTTTGAAATAAATTATTCCTTTTCATCTAGTTCACTAAAGGGACTATGTTTTCTTCCACAAATGCCGGTACTTGCTGGTGACGTCAGCATCGTCGCCTAGATCATCCTTGATGACTCTCTTTTTCCTGACTTGATAGCGACTGAGACGTTTCTTGCGCTCATCAAACGTCAAGCTGTTGATATCGAGAGGTAGCTGAGGAGAAGACAAAAATATGCATATAATGTCGGAAAGAATGTAGTATCCAGACGCCACTTCAGCGGTTGCGTACAAAGTCTATGGAGAGTCAAGAAAATGTCCTAACAAAATTGGAAATGTTTCTCAGTCCCCGATTCATGTCTGTACATCATTTTTTGCAATGACTGACCTTTATTGAGATAATATATGAAGAAAAAAGTGGCGTCAGGTTGCATCTTCTTTCCATAATGTCTATTCTTGGTTTGCACTCGAGAAAATTCACAACTTTATTTTTATTTTTTTCAGTGCAGCCTGCAAAAACTATACATTTAGCTTATTTGAACCATGAGGAAGGAATGTCTGCAAAGATATCTTAACATTTCAACCTACGTTTTTTCTGAAAATATCAGAAAAACAGTTCTCTTTTACTAGTTTTAGAGTCTGTTACTTCACAAGGTGTACAGTATCTGCAAACCTCTACCAAGATGTCCTCTCCATCATGCCAACCTCAAAATGCATTCATTCAACCACAGATGATGAGATTTGTTCCTACAGTGCAAGTACTACATATCTTTTTACATGCTCGATTGACACAGCTACTAGTCACTAGTACTCCGAGTATTAATGAAATCATCAGCTGAAAGCAAAATGCACTCATTAACCCAAACAGAACTCAACCCATCAAACCCCAACGGCATGTTTTGTTGGAATCTGTCAGGATGGGTACAGTACCCCTAAACTGACAGTCTTTTACATTGGGTTGGCACACCTCCAGAATCAAAGTCAGAAATATGTGTGTGCAGTTTCCCATATGGTGTTGGAATTTGCCAGGATGGGTATGGTTGCTAGTAAATCATGCTAGGGAGTTGGGGTTAAAAGGATCCAATACATTCTTGGAGTATCTTCGTGTCTTTGTTCTTACGCCAAAAAAAAATAATAGTCTGCTTCTGGTTTCCCTACCTACCCTACTCTGACAGCCCCTACCCTAATTTTTTTTATGTGAAAACTGAGAAAAAAAACACCAAAAACCATCAATTTCTACCTTTTACCCATGACTTACACGCAGACGCCTCCATATGATCGTACACACACAAAAATTATTTCCCTACCTACCTACCCTATTTTCAAATGCCATGTAATGGGAAGTAGAACTATTTTTGTTTTGGCCCTATATAATAGAACCCTCTCATAGACAGCCACCTTGCCTTCACAGATTACAACTGCTGTATTCAATGCCATCAGGTACTTGTGCGCGCAGTGTACTGTGCAAAATGTTCCAAACATGCGGGCATGTTGCTCAAAATTTCTTCGAAATACACCACAGCCGATGCCCGTCACGAAAATTTGAGAGGGGTACATAGAAGACATGTTGCAGATATGCAATAAACATGAGCCCTTCTTTAATGTAAATGTGACATGCTATTTCACCTTGATAATTTTTTGGGGTTCCTTGTACTTGATGCGAAACGTTGACCCATCTGGGTTGACCACCAGCACCGGGTACTGTCGGGTGTAAACCTTGCGGTTCGTCTTGGCAATGACGGCCCTGTTAGAATTCCACCGCACTGCTGTCCCTGCGTTCCATACTGCATTCTGACAGGCTCGGCATATGGAGGATTTGGCCTGACTGACGAGGAACCTGGTTAGTCTGGCAAGGAAAAAAAAAAGAAAAAAAAATTGAAACAATATTATTGTTGTGATCTCCTCTGGAGTTTTAAAAAAACATTGTGTATTAGATTAATGAATCTAAGATCACTGGATTTCATTGAGGATTAACAGTGAGGCCCAACATCGCATTCTTTTGCAAAACGTAGTGGCTATCGTTACGTCAGCCGTACCACAATTTTCAACTACTTACAGCACTGCAAAAACACTGTTGGGAATCTATATCACATTTTATAATGGCGATCGTGTGCTAATCATGCTTAGGTCCCCCTTCCCTACAAAGAACAAAATCCAGTTTTAATTTATTCGACTCGCCAAACTAGTTGGTAACATTAAGAACAAAAGGTATGTCTTTAGCATGTTAAAGCTTCATGGTATGACCATGTCATACACATGTAAATAGAGGGCAGGGTTTTGAATTTTTAAAGGAGAATTTGGGGGTAATTAAAATGACGATAACGATGACATGACAAAACGCAACTCGAATATAAAGATGACGATCACTGATGCACGCGATATCGCACTGACTCCCATGGCACCAACCGTAAACCGCGTATGAAATTGCAATTTCTACCCCAAGAAACTGTTCAAAATTATTGATACAATTTTTCAGAAGACTGCTTTAGGTTGAAAAGGTTTGGAGGTTTTTTAAAGGTAGGCCTAAATAAAGTTCGAGAACATTTCGGAATGACACAATAATTTTTTGGTTCTAAGAACCAAACATTTTGACGATGACTGTCGACTGCCATAATTACAAACGACGATAGCCAAAACTGTTGTGTTTGCAAAACTTTACTTTCTTAGTTTCTGAATCTGAAGTCAAGTGCATTTCAATTTAGATTTAGCTAAAAAAAGTCAGGTACATAAACTCCTTTTTTAAATCTCACAACGGGGTCAGAAACGAGTTGCCTGTATTCCTTACAATGATTAAATAATATAGCACTGAAGATCAAATGTGTTAATACTAATAGTATTTGTAAAAATTGTAATACTTGTTTTCAATACACTTGACTTGAATCATTTTTTACCTGAACACGGGCGCAGCCATCTTGCTTACTAACACGAAACTTAACGCTTGAGGGCGCCATAAACACTTAACGGCGGAGTGGCAACACCTGTGCGTCCATACAGGTGGTGATCATCCAATCACAGACATTTCCACTGACTTTCGACCAACCAGAACACGTTACTAACTCCGTCAAACTTTCTGTCAGGCAGATGAAAGTTCAGGAGCTGAAGAAAAGTAGGACTGTTTAGTTTTGGCAGATGTTTGATAACGTGTTTCTCTTTGAGTAATGCACGCTTTAAATAATCCCAATCACATGGAAAAGCTATATGCAAGGTCAGATCTACGTTTTTCCATCAATAAAAATAACGGAGGGGTGATTTTCAAGTGCGGAACGTTACACGATGATTCGGCTTTTTTCGCCTGGTACCTAGTCGTCTGCCAGTGTTATTCCAAATGGTTTGCTTTTCATTAATTCTGTCGAGGAAGGAAGTCGTGAGGTAATGTGTTCAACTTAGTGTAAGTATCGGCCAAAAATACTCTTGACTGTTCGATAGAATAGGCCTATTCTTTAAGAATGCTTTACATTGAGAATTTATGAAAGTTGTGAGTCTAATCAGTCTGGCAATGGACGACCTTAAGGCAGCGCCGAGTATGGTGGTGTTCCCTAACGTGGCGCACTTCGAAGCTTACCCGACTTTCCTCGTGTAGTGTTGCCAAACCTCTTTGTTGATAAACCTCAAATTCATTCAGTGAAATACTGGTACTTTTACCTTATTAATGCTGGCTTTTTAACCTCTGTGGAAAATTCCGGTGTCATGAAATTTAATCCGAAATTAAAAAACGGTGGCGTCCAGAAATTGGGCACAAATTGGTGGAGTGTTCCCTAACGTGGCGCACTTGAATAAATCTCGGAAAATTACAAATTAACATTTAATAATTTCTGTAAAGTTGATAAATTCTGATAAATCATTATTATCTCTAATTACATACCCAGCCAGAAGTTTGTCAGAAAATTATTTCTCATTTTTTCGGGACATTTTCAAAGGGTTCACGCCTGCACTTCAAAATAAAATCGAAAAATCACGCCAAAATAAATTGTTCTTCTAACTTTGTAACGGGTAGATAAACTCGCGATTTATGAACGGGAGTGTTTAGAACTTGATAAAATGTCACTTTCTGTGAAATTTCAGTTAAAATTTTTGCTCTAGCTAGGCGCTACAGGCGAAAAATCAAAGTGCGCCACATGAGGGGCCGCGCCACGTTAGGGTACATCAACAATATGCATGCTGGTAACTCTAATAATCATATGTCTTCGCTACGGCGCAAACCACTTGAAACCTACTCATAAATGGGTCTTTCCACACTAATGAGGTACAACTGAATGCAAGTTGGGTTTTGAGTGTGGCAAATTGAACGTCAAACAAAGCAAGATAATTTGTTCAGTTTTCCCTGTTCATTTGTGAGGCCTTAATGATCATACGTTAAGATGGCTGTATGTGTTCTTCAGAAATTACATGTACAAGGGTCATTGTAGATCATTACGTAAGAACATGGACAGAATTTTCGCTATAAATTTAGAGAACATTAATTATCGTGCAAGAATTTACCCAAATGTTATCTCACTTATATTCATGACCCATTTAGGATTGTTGTGTTAGCAGCAAAGACAAATAGTTATCTTTGTCTTTAACACTTTTTGTGTAAACGTACATATCTTGTGACACATTTCTGTCCATTTTGCATACGTATTCTGAACATAATACCTGTGATGTCTTACAGTAGATACAAAAAAAGTGTCTTGGTTTTCGCAATTAACAGTGTTGTAGGTATAAGAATGAAAATGCCCAATATTTGGGTATTGTAATTATAACATCCTATTGATTGAGGATAATAGCGCGATAACGATGATTTGCCATGTTCCGACCTGAAACGTGTTGGATATTGTGAAACATTCCACCAATCAGAGTGCGTATGTGCACCTGTCGGGACGCGTGCAAGAATGTCACATAGTCAGCCGAAAGTAATCAATTGCAGCAAAACGGTGACTAACCTACGGCAGGATGTTGAAGTTAATTTCATTTAATTGAAAATCAGTCTTTTTGAAGACGATTTTTCTTACCTTAACGGAATCTACCTCTTTCCTCCTTTCTCCTATTTTGTAATAAAAAAGTAAAGCATATTCTCTGTGAATTTGTTTGTTTAAATCCCCAAAAGTGGAGAAAATCGCTTTCCTCAGTCTTAATGCTGATCTAATGTTCTCCTGGTCCTTTGTCTCTGTTGTTTCCAGGTTACAGTTCAGCTCGTCAACCAAAGTGTATAAACCCCCCAGATATTTCGGGCCTCGTGCTTAAAATCCAAAGGCTTTTCCCCCTAAGTATTTTTGTCAGATTGAAATTTAACAGCTGAATACGGCTATCATGGTTTGGACATGCGCAGGGTCTTGACCAATCCAGACAATATATGATGCGAGTTACTGCCGTCAATACGTGCCATTAATAGCAAGCAGTGCAAGTTTTGTTCTCTAGACACAAGCGGTAACTTCAATATACATGTAGATAGCACCACCACCACCACCACATGTACACCAACTTTCTAGTAATTATATCTAATGAAGCGTCATATCACACGATTTTTTTAAAGCAAATTCCAATCCAGGACCCTGTAAGTCCACATACCCATCCCAATCAAATTGCTACGTCTTTAAAGAATCAGAAATGGAGATCAAAGGAATTTTTTCTGGAATGATACCATGTGGCCCCTTATATCTAAAAGCTTATATCTAAAAGTGAACCAAAAATAACAGCAAAATAATCAAACTAAGGGGATGCAGTTGTTTGTAATTAATTTATTCACATTTTCTTCAATTGATTTATCAACTAAATTGCTTTGACATGCAAATAAACAATATGAAGCTGTAGTAAAATGTATTATTTTTGTGTTACATAAATTTATATTTCAAGTAACTTTATTTAGCAAAAAAAAAGAAATTACATTAACACTAAAAAAGTGACGTTGAATTCAGCATATTGTTGTCTACCAATTGCTTGATTTTAGCAATTATATGATTAAAACATGCATTGTCAAATTGTCTACAAATATATATTTGGGGGGGGGGGAGGGGGGGGCGGCGGCTGGGGGGCTTTAGCCCCCCCCCCCCCAAAAAAAATTCCATAAAAAATTTGCACTAGCAAAATTAACGTACATGCGAACGGTCTCCCCCTAAATAAATAGTCGTGAGAAGGGTGCATTTGTACACTTTTAGTTAATATAGTGTGCCTGATTGCAGGATTTTATCAGCGCTCCCCATTGAAGATATGGCACAAGCCCCTCTACATTTCAGCACACCTCCCTGAAATCTTTTTTTGATCCACCCTGCTAGCCCCTCCCCCCCCCCCCCCCAAATATTGGCTCTAGACTACGCCTGGCAGGAGGGTTAACCAATAGGGGTTTTGGCAGTAGTTGGTGACCTTCCTGTATACACAAAAATGTATATGCTTAGTATAGGAGAGGAAACGGATAGATTTTTTTGACTGTTTGTGACAGTTCTATCAGTAGGAGGGTTAACGATGTAAACACAACCCAACTCATCTTTGTAGCAATAAGTATGCATGGACCACCAAATAAATTCACAATGCAGATAATGGGCAAATGCTAAGTGTCACCTCTTCTCACACAACTTGGCATACTCTAAAGGTAGTGCGAGTCCAACCACAGGTCCAACAGAGCTCAACCACGTCACTAAATAATTACTGCATATGGAGAAAAAAAAGTGAATTAAAACAATCATAACAGGCCAAAAGTTTGAAGTGCTTTTCTATCTTATGAAATTGTGAACCAACATATGACGACTTGTAATGGAACATAAAACATTCTAGAAATATTGGTTTGAATGGTTAAAAAAGCTTATCAGGACCACTGGAAATACCATTCTCAATAACATTCCACGTAAATGTTCTATGATTACTGTCTCCTTTTATCTAGTTTATTAACAAGATTAATGGATTCTTTTTGATCAATCAATTAGCAGGTGTTACTAACCTGTGTGATGTAGATGTCTGGGAGGTAGCTTTTAAGACAGCGGTCATTAAGTCGGCTGTGTGGCAAGGATGAAGACAGTAAAATGGACGGCCAAGGATTGGATGCTCCTAATAAAATATGAAGAAAAAACAAAGCTTACGTAGTGCATTATGCAATAAACCACTCAGGCATGTCCGTGGCTGTGCGGTTCACTCACACAGACACGAGAGCAGTCTGATACATAGCAAAAAAACAAACAAATTAAAACTATCCTCGTCGCCAATGTTGTATTGGCCGCAAGCGTCGCTTACCTAGCTGGCGGCGTGTCGAGTCTTGTACATAGGACAGAGTCTTGTACACAGGACAGAATAATGTTGTCACTCAAGTGTGCTATGTATCAGACTGCCCTCGTGTCTGTGTGGGTGAACCACACAGCCACGGACACGCCCGAGTGGTTTATTGTGTAATTTACTACACTTAGAAATTAATGCCAGAGAACGCCAACATAGTTTCATAAAATCTGCCTTTTTGTTGCAATGGAATGGGTAACTCTTTAAGCAAGTTTGGGACAATAAAAGTGTGTTATCAAGCTGATGTGATTATTGAACAAATTCCAGTTCAGAAAGAAACAAATACTGTAAAGCTGGACTTATTCAATGGCCAAAATGTACTTAAAGTTACATATCTGTACAAATATTTACAACATATTCCTTAGCTTTTCCCCTTAAGTGTGAAAATAAAATGTATACAGGAATTGAAGCCCAAGGTGTCCGTACGATTGGCAACTTGAAACAAAAAATGAGATTAGTATGACATGGGATGTGAAAATATGAATGTGTTCTTTTACCTGCTGGGTGATAAATGTCCAGCGTTCACTCTGTAGCCTTCTCTGGTAATGGGACGGAACTGACTGCCAAACTTCATCAAGGCTCAAAATCTTACCATCTGTGTTTAAAACAAGGGAAATATAAATTGAGAGAGTACAGACAAATTGAAAACTGTTACGCAAGAGAAGAAAAAATTAGGGGCAAAGCAAAGACGGCTTACAATGAAAAACACACGTACAATGAAATCCACAGAAAGAATATAAAATTGATTAAGGAAATAAATATGTGCTTGGCTGGTGTTAAACAAGTACTTTTAAAACAGGCTAGGGACCTGGACACTGATAATGGCCAGAGCCGAACCCATTCATCAATACTTTTTTCGGTCAAAAAGTCAAAACAAGTAAAAAATTATAAAAATTTCCAACAATTTTGTTCAACAATTTTACTTAATGTTTTGTGAAACACCCCCTAGCTATGTTTATGGTATGTGCCTCGCGTGAGCAATAATACAAATTTCCTTACATGGAGATTGGCACGCGCTGCACGATGTAACTTATAATGCAGCGGTGCCGGAGAAAGTGTTAAACCCAGTCAGGGTTTTATCAACCATTTTCGGCTCTCGACAAATCAAAATGTGTAAACTGTCTTAGGTATTTATGAATAAGATTTAAAATCTAAAATACAGTTTAAAAGCTGAAGGATGAATGGATTATTATTAGATTATGATTAGAAAGCCTCACAATTAGATTTCTTGTCAATGACCTACGGCAGGTATTTTTTTCAGAAACTCCGAGATGACCTTGGATCTTTAGCACTTAGAGACCATTGTCCAGATTGACTTGTGAGTTTCTGACTGGCTGGCAAACAAAATTTTACAGATTTCTCTCTCGTTTCAATATATACAGACTCTACATGAATGGGCTTGTAGTTACTTCCCCTAATGGGCGGGCATTTTGTCAGATTACACACCAGAAACAGACACATTTCAAATCCCGTTGTGAAATTAAAAAAAAGGACAATGCTAAGTTCATTACATCAACACATCTGAATAAAATCCCTTTTTTTTAAGGGCTCTGTAATTTCTGTTCCTTTGAATTTGATGACCAGGCTGAAATCATACATGTATTTTCCAGTTGCTATTGTTTTCCAGACAGACATCTCGTCGCCCTTATGCCCTTATGCTAAGCAGGACTCCAAGCTGGGGCTTTGGACCCTGGGCTGTTCAACGGCAGCGCCAGGTCTAAATATAGCAGCTGATTTGCATATTTGGCCGGCTGGGTTCTTCTTCTGCCGCCGTGCTCATAATGTGTGGAAAAATGTACACAGTGCTCAAAACGCAGTGGCCGTGTGTAGTTAGTATAAATTATGCAAACAATGAGTACTTTAAATTTTTAAAACCCCAGGGACTGTGTAGATTTCTAGTACAATCCAGAAACGGACCGACTGCTATCACGTATTTTTGAAAATTGTATGAAATATTACGCTGACTTTTAATTACTGATGGAAATGTTACCAAATACATGTTTACTCCCCCCCCCCCCCAAAAAAAATTAGATTCATTAAACTTGTCATCAAGCAAATAATTTTGTTTGAATTCAATAACCACTGATACCCTGGCTGAATTGATAATTTTCATTTTTTACGATACAATTACTAGAAAAGTACATGAAATGTAATTGAAAATCAATTAACAACAAACATTTTCAAAATATTATTTCACAAATTTTTTTTTTTTTTTCAATTGTATAAAGAGTAACAGCATTGGTGGGCAAAATTAAAGAATTTCAGATCTGCCACGTGTTCGGATCGGATTAGCTTGGATTACACCCAAAAGGTGGAGAAGTAGGGTGGGGGTTGAGGTAGGGTGGGGATAATGGTACAGGAGGGGGGGGGGGGTGTAAAAAAAATGAAGTGTTTATTCAAAAACACGATAAAGGCTATTTTTTACCTCTTAAAAGTCCTACCCTCTCCTAGCTGGCCAAGGCCAGTTTGAACGACTGTATTATAGAAACAGCTGTCATGTTGTTTTTATTATTTAAAGTTTCATAACTGCGCAGAATTTTTTACTTTTCTTCAAATGAATTTATCGCGTTTTGGAAAAAAACTCTTCAAATGACGGATGGGATTCTGTGTCTATCTTTCTTGTAAAGTTATAACAGCATGCACACCTGCATTTGTGTGATAGCAGTTTCTAGAATGTGATGGGAGGAACCGAGAAATCCCACGCCTGCTCTCGATATCCTTCTAGAAAATGCTAATTCCAGTTCTGCCACTGCCGCTAACACAAATCATTACATTTCTCGACATCAGCAGACAGATGCTGGCTGTCTGTAATGCCGTTGCTCTGACAGCGTTCAAAGAAAAGACTCTTCTTCTTTTTTTGAGTCATTTGAGATAAATTCCCCAGAGATGCTGGGAATTGACAAAGGATTCCTCTGCTGTCACTGTAGCTTCTTTTCACTGAAAAGGCTGGGACAATTTCACTGATGGTACTGTACAATATCCAGGTATTTTTATGTGGGGTGGGGGTGGGGTTGGTTTCTGAAATGGTAATCATCGTGCGCACGAGAGTTTTGTGCAATGAAAAAGATTACTACACTTGCTTTCCGTGTAACAATGTTCACCTCTTCCTTTTTCTTAGTTATGAAATTATGTTGATTCAATATGATATACACTGTACATTTCTTTCCGATGATAGTCACTTTAATTTAATTTGTCTGACGTTCAAGTTAATCAACACGAGCATAGTAATCCTCTTTAATTCATGTAATCCTCTTTTATTACATGTGTATAAAAACACAGATTTCATAATCGAATATTATCTTCTTCACAGGAGTCTAACAGAAAACATGCCAAAAGATCATGTGCAGTTGGGAAATGCTTTGCTTGGCTGAGTACACGCAGTGCTTTCAGAGGGAGTGAGTTCTATTGATGGACACTTGCAGCATCTCCTAGAGGGCCAAGTCAACAGGTTGCAACGCATACATTGACCCGTTTCCACCTCTCTCGGTCTGCAGCAAAAGGCACAGGGCCTGATGTTTCATAATCAACTAATTTTTCACACACACATGTATATTCTATCGATTTGTAATGGTGATGGCATCAATCTTTTTCGCCTTTTTGATGTTTGCTTATCGGGAAACTTGACTCCGACACATTCACAGCTGAGTCAATGTGACAAAATGCCTTTTTTTTATATTGCCTGTTCGTCAGTGAAATCATAAATGAAAAAAAGAAAGAAATCTGTCGGACAAATTTTATAGGAAATTGTCTTAATGACATTGGGGAAAAGAAATGTATACCCCAGCTACAAGTACTTTATTGGCATTATCGTCTGGAATTTGAGATTGAATGTCTCTCATTTTTTTCTGGACAAAATGAAAACGAATGCATTCCTGGTCACTGTTCCCAAAATTGTCAAAAGTGTATTGACTCCTAATACCCAAATATATAGCTAGCCACAACTCCAGGGTGATTTTTGCTTACAGTACTCCCCTTCCCATTCATCCTAAATGCTTAACATGAATTTGTGTTTGTTTGCCAATATATGCAACAGATACTGATCAGGTTATTCAGGTATATGTTCTATCACATTCTATTTCACGATCACCAATCTGTTTTAATGACTGCCATATATACATTTTCAAATTTCAAAAAAAAAAAAAATCTGACATATTACTGAAATGAATTGATTTGAGATAAAAATCTCATCAAGGGTCTGCCACTGAATCTAACGATCTGCACCCATATTTGCCCTCCAATTAAAAACCCGAGTGAGTGATCGTAATTGATTGAATGTTTACAGACAGAGCTAACTTATCTGACAGGTGTCAGCCGCAAAACCAATTAGCAATGTTGACTGTCAACATTTCAGTAAATAAGTGCTCTATTTACAGGACGTTCTCCAAGGACTGTTTGGAAATTGGAAACTAGGCCAGACAAGAGAGAGCTAAGTTAATTGTGCATGACTGGCAAATAACATCAGAAGAATATCCTTCTAAAGACAATGTTTTCAAAAGCAATTCATAACATGCTCTGAATCTTTTAATACAATGCTATACAGGGTGCAGTGTTTTCCCTGCCCATTCAAATGTGGGGCGGCCCACCTCGCTACTTTCAGTGACCACCTCGCTCATTTTTGCCAATATCACCACCTCGCTGTGAAGATTGGCAATAAAGGAATTACTAATCGAAAAATGTTCATTTTGTGTGATTTATGAGCATTTTCCTTGACCTCTATGTATCAAGAACTCACAATTTGAATGTGTAAATGGAATCATCTCACATTTTTGTAAGGGCAGCATCCTTCTGAGTTTGCAAACTGCATCAATTTTGTTTCAATCATCAATTTGAATTTTTACCACCTCGCTCATTTCATTAGCTAGGGGAAACACTGACAGGGTGAGTAAAAAAACCCCCAAATGTCGGGACCATTGTTTTAGTGAAGTTCTGCATGTAGCACTTTCAAAATCTAGGATATGAAAGCCCAATTCATAAGCTTTCTTTTAATACACAAATCATTCAAATCACTCAAGTACTTTTCAAGTTACGGTATTTTAAACACAACCACTGTTTTAAAGTTCTGTCCACAGATCACCAAAGGTAAGTGCTTTTTTCGGCAAAATGAAAACAAATCACATAGGGATGTGTGTGAATTGTTTTCGTTTTGCTGAAAGAATGCACACTTTTTTGGTGATCCGTGGACAAAACTTTAAAACAGTGGTTGTGTTCAAAATTCCGTAACATGAAAAGTACTTGAGTGATTTGAATGATTTGTGTACTAAAAGAAAGCTTATGAATTGGGCTTTCATATCCTAGATTTTGAAAGTGCTACATGCAGAACTTCACTAAAACAATGGTCCCGACATTTGGGTTTCACTTTTTTGACTCACCCTGTAGTGTATGCTTATCATTTCTAAAACCACTTTCCCTTTTAGAAAGAAATCATGGAAACACATTGTAATGAATTGATTGAACAGCACAACCCATCCCAACACTCCCCTTTACCCTTCCCAAAAAGGACACAACAATAAAAAAAAATCAATCCTCTTCCCCTGCCATGCCTTTTACACAGGCTAGTCACCAACAGTCAGATCATCCTAGCGAGCACTGTGACAAGTCAAATTCAGTCAACAGACAAAAAACAGGCAAGTGGTAGGCACAGTTGGCTTATCAATCATCTACAGTCAAAGCACAGCTGTTTCAAGTTACATAAACAGTCACAGCCAGTCAATCTCGCTTTATGTAGGCTGGGAGCTCTTAACTGTTGAAAACCATCACTAGATTGATTTTGACTGCAAGGACAACTTGGCTGTGAACGTATGTTTGTATAGGAGGGTTAATGTTACTGACCATTCTGAGGAAAATAATGCAATAACTTAATAAAATAATAATGTGTGTATTTATAAAGTGCACATATCCACCAGTACTGGTGCTCAAGGCGCTACATCATTATATGCATCTGAAGAACTTGTTTTTAAGTTTCTTAAAATTTTGGTCACGTTTTCATTTTTGTCATAAATATTAAATTTTTGGTGAATAGGAGAGATGGTAAAAAAACAAATGTCCACCCCAACACCCCTTGACTGAAAAAGAAAGATGACTTAATGGATTCTGATTATTGTTCTTGCAATATTAACAGTTACTGGGTAATCAGCAATTAAGACAAAGAAATAAGCATTTTATGTCATATTTCAAATGATTATTGGACGATGTTAAAAAGTCTCATCACAAGAGACCACAAACCTTGATGGCAAGCAGAGAAGTAGAGGGTGGGAACGCTGTAGCTGAGGTTGTAGACAATATGGTAGTCAAACCGGCACGCTGCCACCACGGCCCGGCCATCTGGCATGGCTACGTCCTGGGGGATTACGGGCAGAAATAAAAGGACTATTCCATTCCAACCTGCTGACTGGTAACATGCTCATTAGGCTTTGATGCTTTGCCTTTTAAAAAGCTTTTGTTGTTTCCCCCCCCCCTTCCCTAATTATTTAGTTTCAGATTTAAAATTTAAGGCCCAAGGCACAATCTTGTCATTCAAAATTTGGCCCATTTCTACTTCAAGACTTTAGGTTTAATCCTAAATTTGCAAAGAAATCTTGCTGAACTGAGGTTATTGAATAAATTTAAAAAAGAAATTTAAAAAAAAAAAACTAAAGGAAATGAAGATGTAAAATTTAGCTAAACAATTTACCCAACGTACCCAACTCTCAAAAATGAAAACACCCTGACATACTTTGCAATTTCTTTTCTCAAATTAGGTTTCCAATATTAATTTTGAAAGCTCTTGAAAAGGAAGTGGGAAAATAAACTAGAAATAACTGGTTTATAGTAAAATGAGGCAAATTTAATAAAGAAATGGTAAAATTTGAATGAAGGTACATATTAACAGGGCTCAAACCACACACTGGTTTAGACAGGGCAATTTCATCCTGTACTTTGAACGACAGAAGTAGACTTGTGGTTTAGTTGTTTTACACACCACTTTTCATTATTTACCATGCTAAATGCTCCATTTGACATTCATCTTATGAAGAAATAGACATATTTATTGCAATTTGCATTCCCATTCACCATTTTTAGCAGTGATGAAGAATAACATTGGGACATACAGTATTTGACATTATGTTTTTCAAATTTAAACAGCAAAGAAAAAAGAGAGTTGTAAATTTTTTACGTAAATTTTTCCGGTCTGGTAATTTCTTGAAACTACAAGTAATGAAGTCGGTCTGGTAATTTCTTGAAACTACAAGTAATGAAGTCGAGCAGATATTAGCCTGAAATTTGAGCCCTGATAAATTATGTATCCTTGCTTCCAAACTTACCATTTCTTACCACATCTTCATCACCGTCTCCTCCTTCCCCCTCTTCCTCCTCCATATTCCTCAGAGTCGCATCCATTCCGGCCCCTTCCGTCCTTGAATGCTCATCAAGGCGTCCCGCGTCGCCAACGTCCGCGATATGTAATGCCCTCAGGACGTTCCTTTTAACAAGATACGGGCAGCTCTGCTGAGCGTGCTTCTGTGGAACAGGAAAGGGATTATAAATTATTTATGGTTTAACTCAGTTGTGATACACCTGTTGGTTTTGAAACAGATTGTTGTGTTCATTCATGTTCTGTTATTGTTGGCATTGTTAATTTTTAAGTATGTTTTTCATTTTCAAGTTAAAAAAATGCAGACAGGGCTAATTCCAAAGCTTAACTCCAACTCCCTAGTGTCCTCCACTAAGTACTGGACCAAGTCTGCCCAAATCAATCACCGACCCTGCTTCATATAATGCTTTAGGACCAAATCCGCTGAAATCCACCTCAAAACCACTACTACTACAGATGGATTTGGATGGACTTGGTACTCATGTCTTGCCTACCAAATTCCCCCAAATGGCTTTGAGTCCGCTGCTGACTCAACTATAACAAAAAACTTAACAAAAAATGTACGGCACATTTTGGCTCTTCCCACCGGCTATCTCCTGGTGTCCTATACAGTACTGTATCATCACATGCCCAATGTCATCCTAGACCAAATAACCCCTGACTGTAGTTTAACTACTGAACCGAATCGGGAGTTCTTGGTATCATTTTCCTTCTAACAAACTTTCCTAGCCATACATATCAATGGTTTAGGTCCCTGGATAGTGGAAGTATATTGGAAGCGTTTTTTTTTTACCACTCTGTGGGGTGCTGTGGTCCAATGGTTACAGTGTTCGACTCATGTGCCGTGGTACATGGGTTCGAATCCTGACCTTGGGAACATGGTGCTTGTGCTCTTGAGCAAGGCACTGTACCATTATTGCTTCGTCCTTCGAATGGGACGTAAAGCCGTAGGTCCCTTGTGTTGTGTAATGCACGTTAAAGAACCCAGTAACACTTATCGCTAAGAGAAGGGGTTTGCCCCGGTGTTTCTGGCAGTGGCTGCAATATGCGCCGCAGCACCTTGTAAACCATTATAAAGGTGCTACATAATGGTTCTCATATTTCTCATGTACTTCATTTACCTGTCTCTGATAATAGACATAATTTCCAGCGCCTTGAGTACCTACCGGTAACTGTTGGTAGATACGTGGCCTATATAAGACTTCGGTATTATTATTATTAAGCATTACAATTAATATTTTTATTTGAATGTTTTCTCCCAAGCAGCTCCATAAAATTTGGCCCTGATCTTTTACTTGTGGACCAAGATTTTCCCACTCAGTTCATCTCTAATAGTCTCAAAGACTACCCAGACCCCATCATTTTCCCCACGATCATCGTCTTCATCATCATCTTCATCATCATCATCACCATCCCTTCTTATTAAGACAGAATGTTGTAAAGATGCTGCCTTGCGCCCAGAGGGGAGGAGGATACTCCGTCTTACTCCCGCGATAACAGCCCCAGCATCGGTTTCCCCATAATTACATTACACACCATAGCTCCAGGGCGGGCATTATTATTCGGCTGGTTACGGGATTGCGGCTAATAATGGCACGTCCAACATCCCCGCTGATTCTATTGTGCGTTGAAAAAAACCAGTCACTGGTACGGTTGATAGATGGTAGATGTGGTAGATCAACCAGATATGGCAGATGGAAGCACCGAGTGTGTGTGTATTGATGGTAAACGGGACAGGGTGGCGTTAAGGGAATGTATTCATCTACAAGTAATTATGGATTTTTTTTGGAAGTGAGTTCGGTAGTAATGTTTGTGTGCATTACCGTTTCAAGGGCAAGGTTGATTTAAGATATATCAAACCAAACAAACTGTAAGAGATCTTTTTTCTCCTTTCATCATTCAATTTTTTGGTTCTGTAAGCGTATTTCACGCATTAGCGAGGAATTTTTGTTTCTGCGCATGTGTACCGGTATATCCCGTAACTAAGAATTCTGTGCTCACGAGTTAGCACAGAATTTTTACTGCTAGCGCGGTTAGCACAAAATTTGTGGTCGTAAGCGCAGAATTCTGTGGTTAGCAGAGCCAAGAAATTGGGCCCTGCTCTGACCATACATATTTTTACTGGAAACAAAATTATAAACCAAATTTAAACAATTAAAATTTAATAAATACAGCTATAACTTATTTCCTTGGACTCTCATGCCTTACAAATTCTGTTGACATTTTTGGCTTTGTGGTTTGCTACATTCCATAAAATTGTCGGGCAACAATTTTCAGATCTAGTGCAACATCCTTTGGTGTACATTTAAAATACTGGGAAATACAACTGTATGGTTACTTTTTGAAGACCAATTTTTAACTGACATATTAATGGGATAATTGGGGAATAAGAGCATTCTGTCTAAATTATTAGAAATGACCCGTTTATTTGGAAAATAAAAATGGATTCTGATTACTCTGATACCATGAATGCCGAATGAGGAAAATATATCTCACGGAAATGAAACTTCACGTACGGGTTTTTATGGATGGGAACTTATCAATTTTATGTTAAAACTATGCAAACATTAATTTTAATTTTCAAAGGATGGTATTCATGTATGATGCTACCGGTATTTAGCAAACGGGGGGAAAAAATGGATCAAACAGATGCAAAATCCTTGCATCCTTTTTTATGATGTGGATGAATCATTAGGCCAAAAAAAAAAAAAAAAAAAAAAAATCTGCTTCCGATTACATCGCATTTGAAATTAGGGTAGGTAGGTAGGAAATTTTTTGGGGGGGGGGGGCAATTATTTTGTGTACGATCATATGGAGGTGTCTGCGTGTAGTCAAGGATAAAAGGTAGTAATTGATGATTTGCTGGTTTTTTTCCTAATTTTTCCCCCCAAAAAATTAGGGTAGGGGCTGTCAAAATAGGGTAGGTAGCAAAACTATTTTTTTTTTGGCCTTACGAATAATAAAGTTGGCATTAAGACTCAAATTGTTCACCATATGATACAAGAGTGTGTTGTGTAATTATGCAGTGACTAACGACATGTCTAATTTCAGTTGGCTTCTTCTAAGTCTTCTCGCAGAGGTTCCAACTCCCTGCCTGGCTGCGGTGTTCTTGGCTCAAGAGCGAGAAAAGTGCATAATTTATGTGACCTTTACAACATCCTCCTAGGCTCCACATGGTTAGAAGCCATGCAGGGAGGAAGGGGAAAACATAAGATTTGAGCACATCTACTTGACTTGCAGAGAGAACTGATAATATCGCCCCCCCCCCCCCCCAAGAAAAAAAAGAGAAGAAAAAAATTAAAACAGAAAACAAAACTGGAACAAGAGTAGATTTATGTCTGTTCGATCATGGGGCTTTTCTGCATTATGTTTTTTTAATGGTTTTGTTTTGTTTTTTGTCCATATGCGGTCAGGAAAGTTATATGCACGAACATAGTTCCATGACTTATGAAGCTGTTCTTTTAGATCTGCAGATATAGGACTTTAAAATATATATGCACCTTTAAGATGACATCCATGACACATGATGAAGTTATCCTGACATCACCCATTGTTTTTTGCCTGTAACACATCCCTGTCTATGTACATACTAAGTTCCAACCCAATCGGATTTATAGGCCTATTTCTGTAGGTATAAAATATACACATTTAAGATGATGTCCTAAGACCAATTGATGATGTCATCTTGATGTCACTTATCTAGGGCCAACCTATACTTGTAGGTGGGTCTTTGTATGTGCCTAGTTTGAAGTCAATCTGATTGCATTTTGTGTTAAATTTTGCTATTAAGAAGAAAATGTAAATGTTAAAAAATTGATAAAAAAAATGATGACGTCATAATCACGTCACTTTGGATTTTCGTAGTAACAGTATCTACATGTACCTACCCACTTTTTGAGTTTTAAGACAATCAGACTTACCCTTATTCATTTTTGATGATGTCATAACGTCACACATTTTGCAAAATTGTTGGACTTGCAGTTCTCTAGTATATAGGATCGTTAAAAATACACCTTTAAAATGACGTCACCCTAGATCACGCCACTCTTCCACATACAATTTTGCTATAAAGGCTATGTATAAGGCCAAAACAATTATAATAGTTCTGCTTCCGGTTTCCCTACCTACCCTATTCTGACAGCCCCTATCCTAATTTTTTTTATTGGAAAAATGAGAAAAAAACACCCAAAATCATCACTTTACCCTTGACTACACGCAGACGCCTCCGGGAGATATGATCAGACACAAAAAAAAATGGCAAAAAAAACCCCCTTCCCTACCTACATGTAAATTTTTTGACTGCCATGTAATCGGAAGCAGAGCTATTTTAATTTTTTTTTGGCCTAACCCCATTAAATACTGGACTTCCTCCGTATTAGTCCATTGCTAGGGTAGCAAAAAATCAAATCAAGATTGGAACTATTTGATTATCGCCCATATCGTTACTGAACTGCTTATTAGCGTAAAAAAGTTGTATTAAGTACCTTCAGAGGTCTACTTTCAGCCACACACCATCATGATGGCGTCCATATTCCTGTAGTCTGCTTGAGGTCATGGGTCATGAAGTGTTTTCTCAGTAAATACTTCAATATTTTCCCTGCTAAATTTGACATTTTAGAACATATTATCACTTTCTGATGGCTGACAGGTCACTGAAGGAAAAATTAGAACTTTGAAAGAAAAAAAAAAGAACTTTGCTTTTCCGTAAATAAGGCAATGTGATAAAAAATACACTTTATAACATTCAATCTCCCTAGCGCACAACTCAAAGAAAAGGGGAGGGGGGGGGGGGGTTATTGGGGTGACCATAATCTGTAAAGTGCAACATTGACATAATGACAATGTACGATAATGTACGACAATGCCTGACCATCACCATGTTCACCATCCTTGACCTTGGCTAGTCTGTGTAATAAACCCTGGCCCTGGCGAAGCCGACCATGGTCTATGATACGTAAACAGATTCGGCGACTAATTATGCAACTAGACTGCGTATGACCTCGAAAAACTGACCAATCAGCAGGCGCCTTCTAAAGTTCTATACGCGATTAATTTGAGCTCCATGCGTGCGTAAACATCAAGCCCACGATGAGTAGCCTTAAAACGCGGCATCGAATTGACCAATCACAATCTTACTAGTCCTGATTTCGGAATGAAATGACGTCACGCATGCTTAGATATACATTATCTGACGTTAGACAGGAGACTGGGCTCCGTGGATAACGGGTGATACTCGGACTAGACCTTGGCTTGGACTTGGGGAAACATTGGAGTAATTGCAGAATACCCTGCCACTCGGAAATACACCCCTAAATTCTCTGGCTACGAGGTTGGAATCACTGGAAAAGAAACAATTCAAGTAAATCGCCAGCTACGCGGATACTGAGTGGGGGTCTCCTTGAGAACGAAGCAACACAAAAGTAATGGGAGTTGCTGAAAAAAATTCCAAACCAACTACCCTGTTGCCAGCTACGCGGATACGAAGTGGGAGTCCTTATAATAAAGTTATAATGCTTGAGAACGAAGCAACACAAAAGTAATTGGAGTTGCTGAAAAAAAGTCCAAGTCCAAACCAACTACCCTGTTGCCGGCTACGGGGATACGGAGTGGGAGTGCAGTGGAGCATGACGCATGGTACATACATCTGTACATGCAGCGCTGAGAAGGTTTATTGAGGGCAATCAACCGTGACTCCGTAGCCAGCTACGAGGTGCATAGATCGAGTGGCGGGGTATTCTGCAATTGTACCGAAACATTAATGGCCAGCATTGATTGAAAAAAGGCATGTTTCATTCTTAGTGTCGCTTTGTCTGACCTGTAACTTAAAGTACAGTTACATAAGCGACGATTAATGGAAAGGCCTATACTACAGTAGGCCTAACTATATTCATTTGTTCACCCATATACTAAGTGCAAACGAGGACACGAGGAAATTGGCGCAAACCAGTTTCATCACGAAATGGATGAAGTGCAATCACAATTGCGCCTTCCAATGATGGCAAAGCAATCCACACGTCAAGTGCTACGAAATTTTGTAAACAGTGCAATATATACTTGAAAAATAACCATAAATCATTCTTCATTAATGATAAAAACCACAAGCACGTGAAGAACACACAAACCTCTTCGTATCGGAGCTCCCAGCCATCTTTTAGGAGATCAGAAACTTGGAAAAACTCTAAAATATTTCTTGCAAATTCTTCAGCACTCAGGATTCCTTCCGCCATCTTTAGTAAAAGGTCACGCGTGAATGCATTTCACGTATGCACATATTTACCATACGGGGGCCAATGCAACAGTACAATGAGTGATTTCGAAGGGAGTAAGTAAAGCAAAACTAATACCGAGAAAATCCTCACCAATGGTTTTCCTAACTCCGCCCCTTTTTTTGCTTCCACAGCGGTTTCTAATTTCGCACAGTTTGCGCAACCAACTATCGTGGTATTGGTTCTACGTTTAATAGTACAGTACATGTACATGTACGTAGCCTGCGTAGAAAAGTTATACGCTGAGCTGGATCGTTGTATGTGCTAGTCAGTTCTTTGTTTCAAGATCGTGTTAAACACTCGCACAATACTTTTGCAATGAGAATTTAATGAAAAAGAAAAAAGAAGAAAGAAGAAGAAACACGTTCTGAAAGTTGAACATCTTATATTCTCACTGTTATATTCTCAACTCAATGTAGCCATCAAAATTGTTCAAACATTAATTCCAATTAGGAATATATCCAGAAAATAATTTTACCCTCAAAATAAAAAAATGTCAATTTATCTCAATTTCTAATTTAAAAGTTTCTGGCCTTGGGGGGGGGGGGGGGGGGGGCTCGTGTACACAAAAAGCATATGCTGCTTAATTCCTTTGAGTGAGGTGAAACAAATTCTAGCCTGGATTTTTTTTTTCATATAAATGAAATGAAATCTTTTCTTATTAAATAAAAGCTGCAGAACTTTTGTTTCACCAATAGTCCGTAACAATGACGATCCCGCGTCGGCCGCCGGATAGCTGCATCAGTGTTGCTCCAAAAGCCGATGCAAAAGTTACTTGGCACCAAGGAAAACAAGGTGTTCATGTGAACTTAAATTAAAGCCAATTTACGATTATAGCCAATTATGTCCTAATCATTATCTGACATTTTCCAGACTTGATCAGAGCGTACCTCCTACTTTACTTTTAGTGAAAGTGAATATTTCAATCTAGCCGGTCACAAAATGCGAACCCGCGTAAAAACTTCGGCGATGAATATTATGAATGAACGCGTCTTGTATTCCTTATGCCAGCATCCAACGGTTTCTATTCCCCCACGATATTCTTATCGGGTGACCAATCATGGGCTGAAAATGAACGGGTCATCAACTTGTTGCCATGGGACCGGGGTCATAGTCGGCCCTGATTACTTGACAGGTGCGTGACATGACAGTTCAGCTCCCCAGCATGTTCCCTAAAGGAAAGGGTTCTACGGTACCTTCAGACAACCAAGCCAGGGAAAAGTAAGTTTCTGTTCACTTTTCGATAATTCTGATCCGAAATTTCGAATCTACGGGTGTGATTTGGTGTGGTTTGATACCAAATTCGTTGCGATTTGACCTTAGAATCGCACAGAGAGACGTGTTTTGAAAGGGATGCCCCCACTTCTCGCTGTTCCATTTACCGTGCAGTACCTGATATCTCCCTCCGGTGAACCCCCAAAATGACCGTTTTTCTCTCTTTTTTGCCACTTTCCACAGGTTAGCTCTCTATGTATACGAATATTTACTCCATGTCGGGGCACAGAAAAGCGCACAGACATTTCTGTCGGAGGTGAGTTGATGACATTCGTGGGTCGGTCGGTGCGATATGCGGGGTAACAACTCCATGTTGGATTTCATTGACTGCACGGACCATACGTTTTGTGTGTAAATGCATTCACCGTGTACACACAATCCATGTGTGTGGACTGAGTACAATGGCGAACGCCATCTATTGCCCACCACATAGTAAACCAATGCAATGGAGTGCAATGCACGCACGCATGTGCATTAACTGTATTGCAGATTTTAAGAATTTGTGAGCAAATTTCACACATGAGGGAAAGAATACAGTACCATTACCGGAGATTTGTTGTACCCTTTCTGTTGTTTATTTTTTTAATGAATGTGTGTCGGTTAAGAATGTAGTATCCAGACGCCACTTCAGCGGTTGTGTACAAAGTCTATGGAGAGTCAAGAACATTTTCAAGTATTGCCTATAAAGTTGGAAATGTTTCTCAGTCCCAGATTCATGTCCTTTCAACATTTTTGCAATGACTGACCTTTATTGAGATGATAATATGAAGAAAAAAGAGGCGTCAGGTTGCAACATTCTTTACGTGTGTCATTTTTGTGTACAAAAGTGTACAGCTACTGTCTGGAGTACGTAGGCCTAAATAGCCCAATTTAATTACAAGTAGAATGTATACAGAATGTATGGGGCCCGGGAGGAATAGAAATAATTCCACAGTCCACACACAGCCACCATGCACCTTTTAACAACATGAACATTTATAATTTTTAACATTCCTTGCAGTGCATGCACAAAAGAATTCACTTCATTTACCTTTTCGCAATTCAAGCAACTGCGCGTGCGCACATCAGATTCAACGATTCAGTTTCGGGAGACAATCCTGCAAAATCCTCCGTTATTTCTTGAATTAATGCGGCCCTTGGAGGGGTGACCACTGCCTCAATCCTGCAAAATCCTCCAGCAATCACTGTCAATATGTTGAGGGCAGAGCCAGTGACATCCTGGAGCGATGCAGAAGATTTCAAGTATTTAGTCTAGGCCTAAATATATGCACGGCTGAGCATAAACAACACGAGGTCCGGCCTCAGACCTTGGCACAGTGCATCCTCTAAAGTCAGCCACACACTTAAATTGCCATATAACCTCAGTCCTGCAGAATCCTCCATTTTGCAAAGAGGATTTTGGAGGATTTGGGAAGGTAAATGGTTAAACCGGCAGTCCAGCACTTGCTTGGTACTGTTATGAGTATGACCATTACAAGCACACTATCACTGTATTGAGAAAGCATTTGCCTGCTATAAACCAACTGCCTCATGACAAATTATCTGAGCAAAAGTTCTCAAAATGCTTTCGCCATTGAAGGGTGCCATCTTGCATGTCCTGTGATAGTGTGCATTGAATGGTCGATAGCATGTCAAAAACAATATGCGGTACCAGTACCTAATTTCCATCAGTTGTGGCCCCAGACTACTAAAGCAGCAAATACATGTAGTTCATCTTTCAAAACTGTTGGACCGTGGAACATATTTTAATGGATACTTATTATGAAGAAAAAAGTCTGATAAAATGTTGCATGTAAGAACCCTGTTACTATTCTAACTAGTGAGCAACATCTCTGAAAATAGAAATTTTACCAAGTCGGTTAATAATACATTATTTTACTGCAAGCTTCTTAGTTGCAAGCACTTCACCATCCTAACCTACCTAAAAAAATGAATAATAACATGAAGAAAATAAAGCAGTTAGTCTAAGACATGTTCAAACCCAACAGTGAGTCCCACTAGTTTCACCAACAATTTTACCATTTAAAATTTTTATAAATATTACATTTTTTAATAATAAACATAAATTTTCTTCAAATACAATGCCTCTTTCGAATCAAGGTACCATGCCCTGTGTTGAGATTACCACTCACTTTCTTTGATTCCAAACCCCAGTCATGCTATATTTACCACCCTCAGTAAATCTCTATAGTTCTGGATAGCAATGATTACACCGAGGGCTAATCATGTGTAAAAGATCAGTTAGATTAACCCTCCCTTTTTCTCCACTAGACGTTAAACTCATCCAGTGCTACAGTAGATGATGTGTCACTGAATGGTTGGCCATCTGGACCATCAACATGTGGCAAAATATGAACTTTCATGTCTAATTATTGAAAAGAAAAAAAAAGTGCACTTGTTCAGTGGTTTTGTTCAGGTCAACAGGTGATTTGTTGACGTTTCCTTCCTGCACGGAAGTATTAAACATTGCATGATTTTAGAGAAAGGTGGTGCTTAGGCATTTACCTTGCAAATGGGATTGGATTTTCCACTCCAAAAGAGTTTAAATACATGTAATTTTTTCTCAGATTCATAAAGATTAAGCAAAATAAAAAGCTAATTTGGAGTATTCAGGAATGCAACTTTTCCTCAGATCAGCTGATTTCCTCTTTTTTTAAATTCTCATTTCTGCCATTCAAAATTGTAAAAACTGTACAAAGTCTTCTGAATTTTGGAATTTCCCCCTTTTTTTGGGGGGGGGGGTGAATTTACAGTTGCATGCCTAAGTTTTGTTTATAAGGTGTTGTGGACAAAGTAGAAAAGAACATTGTGATACAGAAAATATTTCAAATGTTTATCCACAACGATTATTAGGCCTACACTACACGTGCAAATGTGGCCTGTGTTTCTGGTATTGTACAGATTGTACAAAAAAAAGAGAGAAACTTGTAATTTTACACTTAACTGGGAAAGTAATACGGGCCTATTTAGTGTAATTCTAGTACAGAAAGTGATTCTTTGGAGGGAATGTGGGGTATTGTTTCTGAGTACCACAGAGTAGATGAAGATACCATGAGAATTCCAGTTGTGCGATTTTTTCTTTTTATATGAAAGCCTGTCACGATACGTATAATTAATTTAGTTGTCCTAAACTTCACCAGTTCAGTTTTGCGAATTAAGTTGAGCGAACCACCATGTATAAATTTTGCTCCCTTTTTCTCTCAAATTGACCTCACAGATTAGGTGGGAGAAGAATATAACGTTAGGAGAACCACCAGGATTTCTACATTCATGGTGGTGGTAAGTAGATCTATAAACATCTTTTTTTTTTGAAAATAATTTGAATACATGTAAAAGTTTGCCAATTCCATTCCAAATTCTGGATTTGAAGGCACTCTGCTACTGTGGGGTGCAAATGTGATGGCGTCCCAATTTCGACATTTTTTTCCTTCAATTTCTTGAGTCTGTTACATAAACAATCATACGTTTAATTGATAGTGTAAATGCCTAATATCTAATGCTTCAAGTGTATAGACTTTATTAACGAGTCGGCCATATTAAATCGAAAGCGAGATAAACGCTTCAGGTTTGGAATTTGCGAGTAGAAATGAAAGCAACAAAATAAAAGTTCATTACAAAGTAATACCAGTCCGCTCTGATGAATATTTTTAAAATGTGTGATTAAACACACCCGAATGTTTGAAGCCACATTTAAAAAATAGAATTTGCAAGTGAGGCTTGGAACCTCAACCGTAAAATAGTCTGGCGCCATCCCATTCAACAGTTTACAATGTATAAAACAGGGTCAGGGAGCATGATCGAAAATGGCTTCTCGTGAATAAGGTCCGTCTTGTATGTCATGGCAATGGATCCTATGCATTGGATTCATCATTGAGGTGCATGGAAACGACAAGACCTCCAATATGGCAGCTGGATGCACAAGGTCTATCCAACCGAAGAGCCTACTGGTGTTTACTTGCTGATCTATTAAATCCTGTATGTTGGTAACCTGTGAGGTCATTGACCTGTGACCCTCGCCCGTTGTGAAACCTCGAACCTTTCCCTCACCATGCTAAATCAGACAAGATTTTGGGCAATCAGCAATTTTGTTTGGATCTTGTAGGAGGCGAGCAATGAACAGAGGATGTATTATAATTGTCAGGTTCTGTTGCATTCACACGTAGCAATGTTCAAGTTATATATTTTTCTTGGATGCATTGCTGTTGGATTAAGTACATGTATGTCTTCAAAATGCTTACAAAACTAAACAGTGTCTTGCAGCTTACGTAGTACTTAGCCATCTTACAGTATCCAGGACTCAAGTATGTAGCTCATGAATAGCTAGTGCGCGGAACATGCATTATAATTGTTAGATTCTGTTGGATCTAACAAAGTTCTAGTTATTTATTTTTTGGTAGATTCTGTTGGATTCAGTAAGGTGCTTACATAATTCCTACAAAAATGCACAAAATCTAACGGCATAGTAGCCACTATCCAGGTTAAAGTCGAATAGCTAATATTAAACAAGTGAGATTCAAAACAAACATTTGACCATCATGGGAGGTCTGTTATTAGTAACTTGATTTTAACTTCCTAACTAGTATTTGCCGTAAACCAGTGTTTCAATATTTTGAATTCGCACTTAACATATAAAATTATCAATTGCAAACAAACAAAGACGATATTTAAAAAAAAATTCATCCAGTTTAAAATGACACATCCACAGTAGAGTTTATTTTTTGTTTTGTCAGTGATTTGGTCATTGGATGTAAACTATGGTTTTATTGGTGTGAATTGTTAGAAGTATTTCTGTATACATCCTATGAGCAGGAAATGAACTTGATACAGAGCAAGATCATAATACTGGATACTCCCATCAGTGCATATTGAGTCCTCTTTTCTTAGAAATTTCGTTCTAGGAAAGGTGTCGTTTCTGAGTAGGATGTTGCAACAACACCGCCTTTGGTTTAATTATGAGATTTTGAACAGGATCTCATTTTGGCATTTTCATGCAGTTTTGGGTTTTAGTCAAATTAAAAAGGTTTAATGGAAGAATTTGGCAAAGGAATACGGTATGTAGACATTCCTATAGCCAATTCTAGTCAAGACCAAGTTGAAACAATTTGTCACAAATTCTTCCAAAAATTGTTGGCATTGCTGTATTTATCTGTGAACCTAGAACTTCCTGTAAATATTTAACATGTTCCATTTTGAAGTACATGTATACGTGTACTATGAGGCACTCTGCATAATTTCAGTAAATTGCTTCAAAGTTTAAACACTCATTTTACAGACCATACATAACCGGAACCTATCTAAACTAAAATGTAATTTGCTGGATAAAAAAAACGTAAAACCTAAAAATTTCAAACCTCATACAAACATTTATGCAGATCTCCGGGCAAGCAGAACCTGATTTGGTAGTCACATGGTAAATTTAAAATCCCGTGTATGATTTTTTTTTCTATTGACTTTTATTATTATGAATTTTTGGGTTTTTTTGCTGTCAAAATTCAGATATATAGAAGTAAGAGTGTTTTTTTTTTTTTTACATTTTAAGCCTTAAATGTGGCATGTTTGGTGAACTACTTCAATGAAATGATTTTTAACTCTTGTCAATAGAGGGCAGCAAGCCGCAGATATCAAGTGCACAATGCATTACATGATGTGGGATTTGTAGTGTACATGTACAGTATACATGTCTATGGTGTGTGATCACATTATTTTGAAATGTGACAACACTAGTAGGGGGAACTGTACGTTTTTGTAGTAACCCACTGACACTGAAAAGTCTTCAGGCAATTTCATATAGGCCTAGTAAAAATCATCATGCACAAAAATCATACACACATGTACAACTGTGTGATGCTTACATGCTGGGCCTTACGATGTACATGTACATGCACAAGTACATGTACATGTATATTTATAAACATGTACCGTAGTAATAGCCTATACACGCTGTGTGCATTGTTCATGGCTTGTAAATTACAATATAGACAAAGCATACATGTCCACATGACAGTGTAACACCCATTTGTTTGTACATAGGATAGACTTAGAGAAATTTGTAAACAATGCTTTCAGTTTCAATTTTAAGTGATGTTCTTTTCTCTGTCGCAGTGTGCAGTGTTCGTAGTGTACCAGGGCATTGTACATATCATTGTCACATAATTTTTAAACAATATAATCTAAACGTTGACATTGTGGATATTTTTGTGTTGCAGTAATGCTGTGTATTGGTTTGAAACAGTACATATTTGTTTTATCATTTGGTGATAATTTTGAACGTTTCCTTTGAATTGAAATATTGTGACATTGTCAAGAAAAAATTAAGTCATTTTAAGTGTCTGGTGGATCGTTAAGTTGGTGAGAAAACTAATCTGTTAGTATGTTAGTGAACATCACATTGCTTTAGAAATTGTACTTCATGAAAGTACAACTGTACATGTTTCTAGTATTTTTTTTACTGATAAGAAAATATGTAAGCCTTAGACCTTTCGAGGAGGAGGTCACATAATTTGGCATCTGATAAAAAGTTTTTGGCTATCTTGCCACCACATATATTCATAAAATATATTTAAAATTACAATTATTGAATTTTCAATATAAATAAATTATTTTCATGGTTACCTGGGGCATCCCACTATAAAATATAGGCTAACTGACTTAATTAAAATATAAAAAAATATACTGATGCTATTTGTTTAACTTTGAACTTTAACGTAGAGGAACTTATGAAGAATATACCGTAGGCCTACACGTGGAACTGCAATGTAGTGTTTTTCCAGTCTCATTCAAATGCGCAGCACAACCCACTCGTACCGTCTGCAGTAAACTGTTGGATTTAAAGAGCAACCCGGGAGTCAGTACCAGTAAAAAATATCTAGTGTCCGGCCAGCCGACTGGCTGTCTGCATGTAATACTGTCAAGGTCTTCAGCTGGAGAACCAGCTGTATTGAATCCACACATGGACAGAGACAGTGTACAAATGATATTGTGTGTGATTTTTACACACAATACTGCATAAGACCATGGAGCTAGAAACAAGACTGACCTTTCAGAAGAAGCTAGGATTCATTCATATAAATTCACATGACACTGCCAACCCTTCCCCCCCACCCCACCAAAATATATTTAAAAAATCAGCCAAGACAACAATTATGGCAATTCAGTAAATTCTAGGTAAATAAAATTTTAATTTGTTTAACGGCTGTGGTTTCTTCGAAGACTTTCAACATTCACATTTTCATTTTTTCCATGAAATGTTATTTTTTTTACCGCAGAAAATTATGACTTTCCCCTAGACATTTAATTAAGAAAGCAATAATTAAATAAGAAATTGAGAGCTAAAAATCAAAACCATACTTGTTTTGTACTGATTTTGTTTTAAGGTAGAAAATAATAGTTTGACGCTTTTTTAGATAAAAGAAAATTTACTTTTAGTGCAACTGAAAGTGTAAATTTTGTCAAAAGTGCAATACATGTATTTCGATTTGTTTTCTATATTTTTTTTTTTTTTTTTACGTGCCAGTGGTTGAATAATTAAAACTGAAACAGGTTACGATAAATGTAAACAATGTAATTACTGGAAATGAAATGGAAATTAGACAAAGCAAAATAATAAATTGAGTTTAAAATGCTCTTCCTAAAAAAGCAAAAGCTGCTGATTATGTAAAGGTATTGATTAATATAGGCCTATCTGAATGAGTAACAGTACAAATATATATAAACATGAAAAAATAAAGTGAGCCTAGTTGGGGAAAAAACTCTGAATTATAATAATATTTTTTATCATGTTACCATGGAGATGGAGTGAAAACATGGCAACAGGCCAAATGTAAATACAGCCACCATGAGCATCAAGACCGAGCCAAGCAGAGAAATGACAAGAGTACGCGAGAGAGGGGAAAAAAAAAAAGCCGAGCTTGGAAATGTCTGATTAAAAATTCACCGAAACGGCTGCTTGCTCCACATCTTCGGCAAGCCAGCAAAATAACAAGCGCTGCTGGATTCAACGTCGACGACGGGCAGCTAGCGTCAGAACTCTCTGCCTGATGACCCCTCGTAGCACTAGATACGGAGACGGTATGCAAATGATCTGGTAGGAAGCTAGTCTCTGATAGGCCAATGAACCCCCCCCCCCTTTCCCTCCTCCTCCCTTATCATTGATCTTTGAAGGATTACAGAGCTTTGTATGAGCCGCCGTGTTAATGTTTCTGTTTTGTTTAATTTCATTCATAAATGTGTAGCTGTTGTCATGGTGATAGAGCTGCTAAGGTACATGATTTTTTTAAACAATCATTTGCTTTTCATATATATTACAAATGATGCAATGATGCTCAAACATATTGAGCATCATTGCACAATATCTCTTTACATTGAACATTTATATCTGTGGACACTGATCTGTTTTCTTTTTTTGTCTGGAAATTGGGTATTTTAATAAGCATCCAAATAACTGTGGGACTTACCAGTACACTGACAGAATCATTCTGAATACAAAGTTGAAATGTGTCTGTTTGACTTAAAGGGAATACAACATATTTGCTTTTGCTGTTATTTCAGAAATGGATGGATTTGGGGGGGTTAATATTTTATTGCCAATGTTGTTGCACTGACTTGTTTGAAGCTTTGTGTTTGTAGATGCTGGAAAAATCAAGAAAAACAATCAAGTTTTTGTAGTCTGGTTTCCTGATACCACTTAAGATGAAACAGAGCAATTTATAGACGTCGCAGAATTGTAAGGTCAGGGAACCAGTCTAGCTGGCTTGTACCTGTTCATAGGTGTGTAATCGATTGCAATCAAAATGCGGACTAACTAAATATGGTAAATTGGGGGCAGTATTTGAAAAAAAACCCAGCTTTTTTCCAACGCTGGTCAGCCGACCAGCGTTGACAATTGATACAAAAATACCACTTTTCTTGAAAATGTCAGCACACCAGGTGTCATGATTTTACAGGATGCTTTAGACTGTCATTCACTAACAGTCTAGGAAGGTATTTCATAATAATTTGGTAGTTTTGTTTTTTTATGTTTGCAAATATTTCCTATAAAATATATTCACGTTCTCCTTTGCTTATATTTATTATTACTGAGACTTGTTACTAAAATATTCTATGTTGCCTTAGAATTGACACGCTGTTTCAAAGCCGGATGTGTCAGCTATACGTATGTTTTTCTGAGCGTAATGTAAGCGAATGGGTTAATGCCTTTGCTCTGGTATAGACTGGCTACAAGTCTCATTACTTAAAATCTGTAGGCTGGTGAGGCTGAACTGGCATTGTAACACAATGGGGACTACAGGGTGAGTAAAAGATATGAAACCCAAATGTTCTGTCCACGGATCACAAAAAAAGGTGTGCGTTCTTTCAGCAAAAGGAAACAATTTCACACATCCCTATGTGATTTGTTTTCGTTTTGCTGAAAGAACACTGAACTTTTTTGTGATCTGTGGACAGAACCTGAAAACGGTGGTTTGATCTGTGGACAGAACCTGAAAACGGTGGTTGTGTTTAAAACTCCGTAACTTGAAAAGTACATGAGTGATTTGAATGATTCTTGTTCTAAAAGTAAGCTTATGAATGGGGCTTTCATATCCTAGATTTTGAAAGTGCTACATGTAGAACTTTACTGCACATCTTTCCTGCCAGAAACACCGAGGCGAACCCCTTCTCTAAGCGATAAGCGTTACTGGGTTCTTTTACGTGCGTTAGGCCTTATTAGTTATACAACATGCACACGGGACCTATCGGTACGGCTTTGCGTCCCATCTGAAGGACGAAGCAAGAATGGTTAAGTGCCTTGCTTAAGGGCACAAGTGTCCGCGCCCGGGCTCAAACCCACGTTACTGTTGCCTCTGAAACACCAGAACATGAGTCCGGTGCTCTTAACCGCTAGGCCATGATACTCCACGTATGCATACTGTAAGACTGCAATGGACTAGTGGCCAGTCTAGGCCCATTGCTTGATCAGTTAAATCCCAGTCGTCCAGCATTCATCCTCCTTCAACTGCTCTCCCAAGAGAGGCCGTTTGCTAGGACTAGCAGCCAGTCTAAGTGGAAACTGCAAGACAGGGAGAGACTAGTGGACAGTCTACACATTATACATACTGTAAGACTGCAGAGGACAGAGAGACTAGCGGACAGTCTACACGTATGCATACTGTACAAAGCACTCGTGGCCAGTCTAGGCCCATCACTTGATCAGCTATCCCAGGCATCCATCGCTCATCCTTCCATTGCTCTCTCAGGAGAGGCAGTTTGCTAGGACTAGAGCCAGTCTAAGTGGAAACTGCAAGACAGGGAGAGACTAGCGGAAAGTCTTCACATAAGCATACTGTAAGACTGCAGAGGACTAGCAGCCAGTCTAGGCCCATCACTTGATCAGCTATCCCAGGCATCCAGCACTTATCCTCCTTCAACTGCTCTCCCAAGAGAAGCAGTTTGCTAGGACTAGCAGCCAGTCTATGTGGAAACTGCAAGACAGGGAGAGACTAGTGGACAGTCTACACATTATACATACTGTAAGACTGCAGAGGACAGAGAGACTAGCGGACAGTCTACACGTATGCATACTGTACAAAGCACTCGTGGCCAGTCTAGGCCTATCACTTGATCAGCTATCCCAGGCATCCAGCACTCATCCTCCTACCCGTGCTCTCCCAGGAGAGGCAGTATGCTAGGAATCTTGTACATCCCTAAGAAAAACACATGCTTTAGGGTTAGTCAAAGGTGCCGCATACAGTGCTACTAGCTTACTTAGCACCAAGACGACTGGCAAGACAGTAGGCAAACTCAGGCTTGCCTTATCCAAACTTCAGCCGGGGCCGGGGTCGCTGAAACTGTAACGCTCCCAAAAATGTCTCGAAGGCTATGTAAACTCTTCAAGTCGCCCTTGTTGTTTTGTGTTGGTCTTTGAATCCTGGAATTCAGCTTCATGCGTGACCGGGTACATGTACGTTCTTGAAGTTGAATTTGTGAACTACATGTAGGAATAGGATATCATGGAAAGATTCAAAGTTTAAACAGTTTGGAAGAGTTGGTCATTTTTAGTCTGTGAATTCAGCGTCCTGCTACAAGTTGAATTTGTGAACCAGGATATCATGAAAAGATTCGAAATCTAAACATTTTGGAAGATTTGATAAAAAACATTTAGTATTTAAACGTCATCTCACCTATCGCTACAAAATACTACTAGTGCACGCAGGGGTTTTCGGGTGGGTTCGAGCGAGTACAGAAAATTGAGAGGGTTTTCGAGACACTTCGAGCGGTTTTGGGACCTCGTAAACACCCTTTGAGGCCCGTAAGTCCCCGAACTCGCTCGCAAATTCATGGGTACTTTAGGTTAAAGCCAGAGTCCATCATTTGCAGCTATCCAAAAAGTAACTGGCGTAAATGTTGTTGAAAAACATACTTGGTTGAAAGATAGTAAGGGGACTAAACTCCCTGTGGAATTATTCTTTCTGGCAAGCTGTCATTCTGAAGAAATCAACAAAAGAAGGTCTTTCCAATGGTGCTTCTTAAGAAGCACTGTAGCACCGTAGGAAATCCAAATTAGTAGTTTGTTTTGTTATTCAGCAAAGCGCGCAAGCATTGGCACGATGACACGCGCGCGCGGTTGCTATAATTCGTCAGATCAGTGCCCGACATCGCGTAGCTGCAATCGGCTCAGCTGCTCAGTGAGAATGTGTCTCGGACGCTGAATTCAGGCCAAATTCAAAACATGATTCAGCAACTTTTGATTTGAAATCAAGATCCTAGAATGTTGTTTTTTTCGAAATATACAGCTAAAGCTGAGCTGAAACTTCATCAGGTTAGTTGTTCAGCACTCTTCTTTAGATCTTGAGCACTTCTGTTGCTTCAAACGAACAAAATGCACAAACTACAAATGATGGACTGTATCTTTAATCATGCCTGTAGTAAACTGTAGTATGCAGTACTTCAGCATAGAAGTGGGCACAGCACTCGTAGTATTTTCTAGTATTTGGTACCTGCATACATAATTTTTGTAATACTTTGTAGTATGTGGTACTCTTCTCGAAATGAACTCTTTGGGGTTAAGGGTAACATAACTTTTTAAATTCAAGATTAATTACGGGCAGTTTAGCTCACTAGATAACAAACATTGATGAAGTTCTGCTAGGAATCACATGATTTGTATATTTTATAGATGTCTTTAGTAGTTTGCAACATCTTTTTGTTTCTTTCTTTAATTTTCAATGAAAATAAGTTGAGGTGATCTTAAGAATGCTGCAAATGGTTCAAAAAAGTATATTTTGGAAGAAAACAAAGGCTGCTGTACAATGTAAACGTCAACTGGAAGTCAACAAACAAATTAAACTGAAATGCATTTATCTTTATATTTTGTATACTCAAATATTTAATACTATTGACAATTGCGATTGTAAACTGTGTCAATATTTAAAATTGATATTCCAGTTTATATCAAATATCTTGACGCTGACTTTTAAGTAAGATTGATGGGTATTCATTACAATGGATACATGTTTGGAGCTATGCACTTGGGATAGCATGCTCCAGCTCAATGAAAGACGTCCTCCCCGCAAATCGATAACAGTACATGTTCAAGTTCATACGCCTGGAAGTTTGAACATGTGGCTCCCAAACAAATCACACTCCCAATTTGTATGAGTGCACGAGTTATGTACGTATGTAGGCTTATATTTAGCCCACTCTTGTTCTTTGCTCTGCGCTTGTGAAACACAAACTTGACCTCTCATTGAGGTCAAAACGTTGACCTTTCCAGTACTACTGGTTCCTGGTTATTGTGTGAATTCCTGCCGGGTTTCTGGTGTATTTGGTGGCTTTGTCTTTTTCAAAGTTCTCTCAATTGTGTAAAAAAAGAAAGAATTAAACATGCTTCATTCCTAGCTTATTGTTTCAAATAATCATATTTTATTGCTGTCTATACTTTATGCACCCCTTTTCTTTATCCAGTATGCTGTTTTCTTTGTAAAAAAAACAGTGGTGTTGTCAGAAAAATCTTAGACACAAAATCACTAAAACCTAGACCTGGTTGAATCAAAATCCAACTGCAAAAAAAAACAACAACTGTTAAATCTTGATGTTTAGTCCAAGCATTAAGATACTGTTGGAAGAAATACTTGGAAGTTGGGTTTAGATTAGAAGTAATCTCTTATTGACAACTTATTATAATTTTAGTGTACTCAACATATTGGGCCATGTGTATTCTTAACAGCAAATTTTCTTTGTGTTGTGATATTGTTGTCTAATTTTTTTCAATAATGACTTGGTGTCCTTGCAGTGTCTTTTGGGATTTGTACTGTGCGGCGCCGGAGAGGAGAGAAACATGTGAACATTCAAGCGAGGCGAAAGCCTTCCACGATTACGTGAGTACCGTCCTCCTTCGTTTTTGTCTCCAGTCAACTCATGCTAACCGTATACTCCGTTCCGTAATTCCATTGAAGTGAACCGGGTATTCTGTTAGGATCTCTGCGTCAAAACCCTCTCTCTCACACACACACACACACACACGCAATCACATGATGCAGTAAATTTGTGCATGAAGCTGTTGGACCGTTTACAGGCCGCCCACCTTTGGTCCTATTATGTAAATGTGGCCATTTACGAAACGTAGGCTTCATCTGTGGCTTTGGTTGCTGACTTGGAGAACTCTGGATGGATATAGGACCGATTTCAGCTTCATGAACATCAATCCTTTAATATAAAGCTCAAGTTCAGAGTATTCCCATTTTGATGCTTTTAAATATTCTGTTATGTTTCCCTCCCTGGTCGGGAACCTGGGGGGGGGGGGGGACATTAGAATTTGACGATTTGAATCCATACTTCAAATCAGTGACAAAATATGTATTTTACATAAAAGAATTTTTTCGAGCTTCGTTTCCTGTCCCATTATTATATCAAGTAAATAAAAGATACCTTTTTTGGACTTGAGTTACAGAGCTCGTATCAGGAGCTTGCGACACCATCACGGTGTCTTTATCAACTGGCGTTGTTATATTTTTTTTTGGATAACTTTTTATTTTTACTGTTTGTTCCTTGACTTGGTTACGTGATACAGTTGTAAAATTACAATGTACCGTATGATGTCTTTACAAACCATTCATGACAAGAGCAACAAGTTGTTTTTATCATTAAGTTAGCCCAAATAAATTAGTTAAGTCCTGATTGTTATTGTTCATATTTACATGAGTAAAAATCTGCCTACCGGTAGTTAAACAGGAATAAACTCAATTCAGAAATCATCATCACCTACTCACTTTTGTTTGCAAGTTTTTTTCTACCACAAAAGTACATTTCAGAACCTTTTTTTTTGGGGGGGGGGGGGGTTAGAGGAGAATGTTGGATTAACGGAACAGTTGAAGCACTAACAGATTTGCCTTCCTGATTGTCATGCATAAAGTGAGCCAAATGTGCAGATTTGGAAGATGCAGTAAAATTCCTGGAACCCTCCTTACAATATACTTGTGTTTTGTAAATTTATCCTGTAAAAACCTAATTTGTAATGTCTCAGCCCACTACATAAATCACATTTTGAAACTGGGTCGTTCTGCCAACAATTGGTGTTTTTTTTTCATGGCACTTCCTCGAAACAGAACCCATACGGTAGCCAAGAAAAATCTTGAATCTGGTTAATTTTGGAAGAGGTGAATGTACACAGTACCTGTAGGTTGGTAGTTTTTGAGCAGGGTAAGACATGTAATGTGTTGATGCGGCGAGTCAGGTCGTCATAAGGTCGGACAAACTGTTTTCAGTGGACACAGACCTTGCTGTCCGGCGCGTGAACGCGAACGTGTTTTCACAAGACTCCAGATAAGGCACTCCTTTACCTCAAGTGTTTTCATTCCGACTTGCAGTGGGCAAGGTGATGGAGATCTGAAGTTTGAATTTAAGTTTGGGTGTTGAGATAAAAACAGGTTTCTTGACGCCGACCAAGACATTCCAAGATTTTCATTAAAACTGATGTCTGCTGTCCTTTTTGTATTTTGTAAACTTTGCATTTTGAAACTTTTTGTAAGGCATACAATTTCAGAAGACGCTTTCAAATTTGTAGAAATTAATATAGAACTCAAACATATACATTTGTATATGCAGTGCATATTTTACACAGTCACAGGCAGTCAAAAAGTCAATCCTCTTCCCCTGCCATGCCTTTTACACAGGCTAGTCACCAACAGTCAGATCATATTTCAAGCAAGCACTGTGACTAGTCAAATTCAGTCAACAGACAAGTACGGTACGGTCAGGCACAGCTGGCTTATCAATCACCTACAGTCAAAGCATAGCTGTATCAAGTTACATAAACAGTCACAGCCAGCCAATCCTGCTCTATGTTGGCTGGGAGCTGTAAACTGTTGAAAACAGTCACTTGATTGATTTTGACTGCAAGGATAATTTGGTACAGAATGTGTGTGTTTGCATAGGAAGGTTAATGTAATTTTATTGTTCTAACAGAAGAAATTTTTATTATATTTGGTTGTGGGAATATTGCAAAGGAATCCATTGTCTCTTTCAATTACACTCGTTTACACCTGTGTGCATGTGCTAACGTGTATTCCAGAATATTCTTTTTAATATTACATGTGTAAACACATGAACTGAAAGTCACCACTTGCTAATGGTGGGCATGAAGTCAGTGATATTTTTTTCCCCCCACAAAACTGACTTTTCATTCCCATTCCAGAAACACCCCGGTTCAAAGCTTTTAAAGTCTGGTATGATACCCGATGCACCCTCAGAGGTATGTTTGAATATTCATCATCCTAACAGCCAATCGGTTTCAGTGTTCTGCCCAACCTCAAAATTTGAAAACAACCGATTCCCATTTTTCATCTTCCAGTTTCGACACATAAAATTTGAAACAATCCTTGTTTTCCCCGTTGTGTGCACAGTTTGTCTGTATTCCTGTGTTAATTTGTACCTCTAGCAGAACACTGAAATAGATGCAAATTTAACTAAAATATGCCGGTGCTATGTTGAAAGCAATCGGGTAACACTGCACGATTTGGTACTAACCAGACTTTCAGTTTAAGAGATGCCGGTGACCAAGTTTGGACTAAAAAGAAATTGCTTCACTGTAAATTAAAAACAAGGTACTCATATTGACAACCCAAGAACAGATACGGTACAGGTCATTCTGGCAAAATGAGATGGAAATGGACACAGGCCAAAGTGGAGAAAATTGCAACAAAAAAACAAAAAAAAACACCAATGGAGTGATTTTTTTCCTTCAATTTTCAGATTATGTGATATTTGTAATATGTCTTCTACACATATTTTAAAGATAAAATATAAAAAAATTTAAGGGAAAACGGTTGTCATATTTCACTTTCATGAATACAAAACTCAAAATTTTGAAGGCTTTTTTTCTCAGTATTTTACTTTTTTAACATGTTGAGAAATACAAACTTAAAACAGCCATAACTTGTCAACGGAATGTGCAATTGAAGTACAACAAACAGCATTACCAGGAGAATTTTATTCTCTTTCCTAATACTTGCAAACTCACATTTGGTCCTTGGCCTAGTTCTGTCTCATTTTGCCAGAGCGCCTCACATATTTCAAGTACATGTACAAGAAGGCATAAGGTGTTTTTGGAGCAAACTCGAGGATTCAATAAAGTAACGCAATCACTACCACCTATAACTGTAGGACTTGATTTTCTTTGGGGTGCTAAATACTGCTGGGCGAGTAACTCGAGTACTTGCGAGTAGATCATGCTACTCGTTGTTCTACTCGTGGTTTTTCATCTACTCTGGTACTCATCCTGGTGTGAGTAGAAGCAGGTACTCACGAGTAGCAATTTAGGGTTTAGGTTGGCACAGCTGGCTTATCAATCACCTACCGGTACAGTCAAAAGCAAAACTGTATCAAGTTACATAAACAGTCACGGCCAGTCAATCCTGCTTTATGTACATGTAGGCTGGGAGCTTTTAACTGTTAAAAACAGTCACTGGACTGATTTTGATTGACTGAAAGGACAACCTTGCACAGAATGTTTGCATAGGAAGGTTAAAGAAGCCTACAATGTATGTGCTGTCTGTGGGTATATTGGTACCGATACGTTAAAAAGAATTCTTGCGTTCGGTCTTTGGTAGCCTGTTATTTTTACGGCATTTTATCCCCGTCAAAAACTACTGGAAATTAGCCAAATGCTAATGTTGCACAACACATGTTGGTGTGTAGACTAGACTTTGAACCGCTGATATTTTATGGCTATGAACCTTGGAATTGAAAGAACCCTGTTTGGTTAGTGGCGTGCAAATAAGAGAATAGAAAGCACCAAAGACTACTGAAAGATAGTAACTTGTCGTAAATTATAACAAAACTAAGCCATTGTTCACGAGTGCCCGATGCATGTCGAGTTGATCAGATATTTGTGTATTTATTACAGTCAACCTACAACCTTATAACATAGGTAAACAGACTGCACAATGGAGCTGAGGCAAAAGTAAATCTCCAAAAAGGGTTGTGATTGGACTGATATTTTTATCTCATTCTCAAGGGTGATCATGGTCTTGAATGTTGTGCGCATTATCAGTGGCATACGCATAGTTCATTTCAACAACCAGATTCAAATGTATTTATTTTTCGTTACAAAAAAGAGTACAATTTCCAACTTTCTTTAACCCTCCTATGCAAACATACATTTTGTGCCAAATTGTCCTTTCAGTCAAAATCAACCAAGGGACTGTTTTCAACAGTTAAGAGCTCCCGGCCTACCAGTTAAAGCAGGATTGACTGGCTGTGACTGTTTACAATGTAACTTGATACATAGCTCTATGCTTTGACTATAGGTGATTGTTAAGCCAGCTGTACATACCGCTTGCCTGTTTTTTTCTTCTGTTGACTGAATTTGACTTGTCACAGTGCTTGCCTGAAATACGATCTGACTGTTGGTGACTAGCCTACAGGTGTAAAAGGCATGCCAGGGGAAGAGGATGGAATTTTTTTACTGTCTGTGACTGTTCAGATAGGAGGGTTAATAATTAATTTTTGATTCTGATGCCCAGTTTTTTGCTGTATCGTGAATTGAATTTGAAGGCCATTCATGACGTTTGTATCTTTCCTGTTACCCCATTTGGTTCCATTCAGTGTTTCTGATGACATCAAAGCTGGCTAGTGGTGACAAAAGGAAAATGTTAGTGATATATCTTTAAAAAAAAATGTTATACCCCTCAAAAAAGCTGTGACAACATTGAGAAATGAAGAGCATTTCCTTCATTCTGGACATAGAGAGCAGTGTTGTTGAGGAGTTGTTAATCCAAAATTGTCAACAGATGGAACATATATACATGTACAAGTTTGGAAAACACGAGATGTCACTTCTCCAAAATTCTTTGGAACCCCAGTACCTTTGAATTCAAGGAAGAGTTTCCCATTCTATAGTTTGAAGCAGGGTACCGGTAGATTGTGTTTTTTTTTCATTGGATCAGCAATGAACACAATTATGTAAATAGTCATTATTTTTCTGGAATTCTAGTGTCTGCGATAATGCAAATTTCGTTTGCTGAAATGGCAAGTGAATGCAAGTCAGAATATTTGCATAATGTTTCCTTGACTGTGCGCCGGTGTACTTTACCTGAGCAGTGATCAGCAAATATCACCAGGTTCATTAAAAAAAAACGCGCACCAAGAAACCCCTCAAGAGCAGTGTCCTGTTAAATAATCTGTAATGTACATGTGTGTTCACACTCCGTTGACACCACCGCTTATTTTAATTCACTCATCCGCTCGGTCTAGCTTCGGACCCGGACACCAGTTGCTTTGGCCTTTGGGTCGGCATTATAAGCAATGCTTCCCAATGCAGTCCCCGGCTCTCAGCTCCGGATGCAGTCTGTGTCACAAGAGCTGTTCAGAAGAGAGAGAGAGAGAGAGAGAGAGAGAGAAAAAAAAGAAGATTTTTTTTTTATTTATCAGGCGGCGAGTCCACAGTGCAAAGATGAGGTTGGCATTGCCATGGTAACTGATCTGGGAAACCTTGTTACATCGCCTATTCTGTCTAAACCATTTCCTGCACAGAGGAAGCTAACATAGAAAAGGCTCCCTCCTCAAAAAAAAAAAAATAGAACGCATGCTGGGAGGGGAGCTCATTTTTTTGTAATTTTTTTTTTTTAAGTTGTACATGCATATTATAAATTAAAAAGAAGAAACCTGTACTGCACACTGATATTTGTAAAAAAAGGCTGGCTCTCCGTTGCCGCCACAGGCATGTCAGTACTGGCCGCCTCTGGCCGCAGCGGTCACTAAATGGATTAACAGCCACGGGTAGCTAATGGTCAACTCAGCGCTCAAAACCCAACTGACTCGATGCATGTACGACTTGTCAAAGGCATGCTTAGTGGATGCTTGCCTCATTATGGACAAAAAATTAAAATGAACCCCCCAAAAAACACGGCCATGCATTTCCGGGCAAGTTGGATCATAAAATAGTAAATTTTACGAGGCTGTGTTAATGTCACGGTTTAGTGAACCCTCGCTTTTAGTTCCCAGCCATAGGATGTTTGTGCCTTTTTACACAAACCGGCTTCAGCAAATTTTATTTATTGTTTTACTGTCGGTAAGCTCAGCCACATCTTGGCTAGATTTTTTTTTTCAGTGGAGATTAATTCATGGTCAGGTACCACGCAGAAAAAATCTAGTTTTTGAAGCTATTTAGAATGCTGCAAAGTTTTCACATTAAAGACATAATTTTACAAGGTCGTGTATATATGAACGATTTTTATTTGGCATACACGTATTTTGTTGGTCATTCATAAATACCTGAGACAGTTTACCAATCCTATTGGTCGAGAGCCCGTCACATGGGTGGTTTAAAATCGCAAGGTAAAACACCGCTGCATTCTGCGCCACATCGTGCAGTTTGCTCAATTTCCGTTTTTAGCACTATGCGCATGAGGCACATAATGGCCGTAGATATGGCCAGAGGGGTGTTTCACAATACATGAAGTAAAATTGTTAGAAAGTTGTGAATTTTTGATTTGTTTTGACTTTTTGACCGAAAGGTAATTTACGAATTGGAATAAATATGTGCTGAAGTTGAGGATCATTATCTGCGACCAGGCTCCTAGCCGGTTTTAAACGTACTTGTTTTAAACTGGCCAAGCATATATTCATTCCCTTTTTTTGGCTTGTCTTTTTGTGTAGTGGCAGAAGGTCGAGCCTTCACGATCTTCTGATTGTACACAAGATTGAACCGAGAACAAGCAAGCAAGCAAGGGCAATCTTGGGCAACCTGTTGTAGCCGGCTATCACTTTCTAAGTCAGAGTTAAAGGGAATATACAACATTTGCAAACATCCAAAAAAAAATTAAAAATTCCAAGTTATTATTAAATACCTTACTGGACTATTAGTAAATGACAGTCTTAAGCATCCTGTACAATCGTGACACCTGATGTGCTGTCATTTTCAAGAAAAGTCATATTTTTGTATCAATTTCCAACGCTGGTCGGCCAGTGTTGGGAAAAACAATGGCTTTTTTTCAAATACTGCCCTTAATATACCATATTTAGTTATTCCAAATTTTGTTTGCAATCGATTACACACCCGTGAACGGGTACAAGCCAGCTAGTCTGGTTCCCTGACCTTACAATTCCCCGACGTCTATAAATTGCTCCGTTTCATCTTATGTGGGATCTGGGAACCAGACTACAGGAATATGATCGTTTTCTTGGTTTTTCCAGCATTCCAGTTTTTTCCAGTGTAACAATATTTGCTATAAAATACTAACCCCCAAGTCC